AAACGTGTGGTCAATCCACGTTATTCGCCCTTGACCTTGGGAAACCTAGCGAACCATTCAGTTTTCAGCGGGTTAAACACCTGCTTCTAGGTTTGGTCACAGGCTTGTATTTATCTTATAATCCTATTATTCTGGATCGTTGTCCTTTGTTCCCCGTGATAGATGTAAGTGCTTTTTGTGCTCTTTCTGGCTCGGTGACTCACTATTTTTGTTCTCTTTCACCCTCCTCGCTTTAAGTTCCATGCGCTCTTTCCTGGAGTAGTCATCGAAAAACCCGAATCAAGCTTATGTAGTTGAGAAAAAACAACTATCGACTCCATACTTCTAATTGCATCTACATTTAATGTTGCGCTATGGAAAATCCAACTATTATCCAGTTATCTTGCAGTCAGCTACAATGTTGGACCAGGCACATATATGCATCGGTCCAAGTTGCCATACCTCATTAGCAAAACAAGATGATCACCAAATTCATAGAAGTAGTTGCTTCAATGGTAGCAATAAATAAAATAAAGATTATGTATAAAAATACAATACGGGAAGAAAGAATTAGTTCGTAGAAAGGTATAGAGTAATTTCAGTCTCACGGTTTAAGGGAAGACAAAATGCGTATATACCTACACCTGTGATCGATTCTCAGCCATGTTACCCAGAGTCTCCAACCATTGGTTACAATAGTCATGTGGACCCCAATCAAAAATCTGCATCTACCAACATGGTTCAAACCAAAAGTTAGTAACTTCAAGGACTAATGCCACGTTTTGGTTTGCCGCTCCTAACTTTCTTCGGACCATCCCCAACACTAGTCAGTATTACGCATCGTGCTAATCGATGTTCAGGCATACGTAACACATGGCTCAACCATTTCAGTCGATGAAGACTCACAACCTCATCAACTGATTTACCACCATTCCGTAATATCCTGCGTCTAACCTCACTATTACTTACCCAGTTATCCCAGATGTTGACAATGTTTCTAGGACATCTGTGGTCAAATACTGGTGACTTGCGATTATCTCGCACCCTTAATGACCACGTTTTACAGCCGTAAAATAGAACGAAACGAACCGCTGTGCAGTATACACGTCCTTTAATTGATAGACGGATGTCTCGCCTTTGCCATAGGCGACGTAAGTTTGTCCGTAGGGGATTTTGAAATTTCGCTTTTCATAAAGAGTGGAAGGTATGGCTTCAGTCCGTTCGACCTACTATGTAGAGTATCTAGCTCTTTTTGGTCCGTCCCAATATGTGTTTTGATTGGATTTAAGTAAATATTTCAGTGGATACTCAATGGTGTTTGAGATATTTTGGGTCATTGTTAGATCATCACCAAGTCTTCTATACTTTGAAGGGTACTATTTCGGTGTTTTCAGGATTTCGTTGTGGGATTTGAACTTAAGGTCACAAAATGATTTCGCAGCTAGTCTTTGTATATAATCCAAAGTATTCTTATCCTTTTGGAATAAGGGATGAAGCACTTTGTAATACTCTAAGTGAGTTCGAATACAGCTATTTAAAATCAAATGAAGAATCGTACTATTAAAATATTCAAAATGCTTGTCGTAGTTACTAGTAAAAGGTTGATTCAAAAAGCGCTTTTATCATAGCATATGATTTTAAATAATAGGGATCTAGGTATGCCTAAATTATCTTTGACTAAAAAAACTTGTGATAGAAAATTGCTTAGGTTGTGTGCGTAGCCTGCGCCATGCTGTTGAAAGTTAGCCCATTGTTGCCCTCCTAGTTTTAAAGTCGGATCAGTTTATCCTGAAGTGCCAGCCTATCTATAGTGGAGAGTCTTTCCGGACACCACCTGAGGTTGCAAAATCGGATGACAGTTCGCCATAAGCTCTGACTCGGCTGGTAGTGTTCGAGTAAAGAACCTTCACAACGTTTATGTACTTCTGAGGTACGCCCTTCAATAACAAACACTGCCACAGAACCTCTCGGTCTACAGAGTCAAATGCTGCTTTTAAGTTGAGAAAAACCATCATTGTTGGACGCCGATAAGCATGCCTGTGTTCCAAAACCTGACGAATAGTGAATATGTGGTCGATACAGCCACGACCAGGTCTGAAGCCAACCTGATTTTCTCGTGTTTGCAGTTCACGAGTCTTAGTTAGGCGTCCGATAATTATTGAGGCTAGTATTTTAGATGCTATGTTAGTGAGACTAATCCCTCTATGTTTATCACAGGATGGTTTGGATCTCTTATTATATATTGGGACGATCAGTGATTGCGACCAGTCTGATGGGATTACGTTCAGTTCCCAGATTTCAGCTAAAATATCAATAAGCCTAATCGTTAAAACTGGACCACCATTCTTAACGACCTCTGGAGCTAATCCATCTGGACCAGCTGCTCTTCTCCGTTCCAGATTAGCTATAGCCTTTTGAACTCCAACTAGAGTCGGGGGACCTACTTCAATGTTCCATTCAGGCTATTTGGAAATGGTGGGTAGTTGTAGAGTAGCTAAAGGCCAGCTGGACTGCTTCTTAAAGTGACGTCAGTTGTTTCTGAAATCTATTTTTGGTTTTCTCGTCACTGAGTTCAACTCTAATGGGTCTTCTTAATGCGGTTTTCTTGCGTCGAGTGAGGCGCAAGCAAATGAGTGCTCGTATTACAGCATGATCGGAGTCCAAACAAGTTATCTAGAATGAGCGGCAGTTTTTTGTCGAGCCTCTCGAACGATGACTGATGGCAATATGGTCTATTTGAGTCCATCATTGGTTTGGTGCAGGTAGTCGCCATGTTGGGCGATGTCTCTCCTCATGCTTAAAATTAGTGTTTGTTAGAAATAAACGATTTTCTGAGCACAGTTGCAGCAGACGATCACCATTATCTGTTCTCTGAGCCGGAATACCAAAACACTCAATTAAATGTCTCTGTTTGGTTCAAGTTACCTACTTGAATATTAAAATGTTTAGCTTCCTGAAGAAGTTCAGAAAGCTTTCTGTAAAAGTCATCTTTTACTTCATCCGGGCTGCAGTCAGTGGGAGCGTAGGCAGACATGACGAAAAGACAACGACGTATTTCTCTGTAATTCCGAGTTCTTACTACGCCGTTCAGCCGAACAGCACATAGGCGATTGTTGACATTAGATCCATTACAATGGTGCTTGTAATGCCCTCGTACTTAGTGCTATGCCTACACCTGCCAGTCTACGAAAACTAGTCATTGAGTCCCCATATGAATGGAGGTCGTATCTCGCTGGCTCCACGTTTTGGCAAGGTGAGCTTAAGTGAATAACCACACTAGGATTTTGTATGCGTGTTTCAGAGACACAGCATATATCAATGGTACGAGATTCTAGGGTCTTAACCAAGGAGACCTGCTGGTTGATTTGACTTGGGGTGCGTACATTGAAGGCTCCAATGTGTAGTTTGGAGCGAGGTTTCGGTAGACCTGGGAGTGTTTTGCGCACTAGAATCGTTGGCCATGGCGATGCTTGAGGAGGAAGTTTAAGGAATAATAGAAATTAAAGAAGGAGATTGATTATGAATACAGTAATCTGTTAGAGGTGCTGTTAGAGGTATAGAGGCGGTTGTCACTTTCCGGTTGCCCACAATATGGAAGGGTTCTTCTGGTGGTACCTGAAAAGGAAATTGGGTTCGAGGTAGTCCTAATGACCGGAGAGCGTGACCTTAGTGCCCAAGGGACAACTGCTTGAAATCGGCCACACACGACCTTTTTGTGGGTAATTTTCGTGTTAGTTCCGTACTTGTTGGGACCCTACTTCCGGAGACGAAAATCCGTAAGATAAGGTGAGATGTGTGTTTTCAAAGTCAACCTTTTCCAACCCCACCCCTCTTTGTGAGAAGGCACCATCGCTGTTATACTGATTGTCTGAGGGAGACACCTTTCTGCCGTCACACCTCTGCACAGTGTGCAGTACAACCTCGCCTTCGGACCTTGGGTTTGCTGTTTTTATTCCTACCACTCTTCAACCGACCTGCCTGGCATGGTAGGACCTTAAGGAACTATTGTTCCAGCCAATATAGCTGGATTATTTCATCACAATAAGCAAGCCCGACCACCACTTCAAGGTAGCAACAACTGTTGGGTTGTCATCTCGTCCGTTTCAAAAATACGTCTTCATTCAGTGTGATTTTAAATTACTCAGTTTTAAAAGCATAAGTTCTTCAAATCCATAATTAGTATTCCATTCATTAATTTTCGAGTTCCAGATAATTACTGTTTCACTCATACTTTCTCTAAACCTATCCTCCAACTATATATATATATATATATATATATATATATATATATATATATATATATATATATATATATATATATATATATATATATGCCCCCGAATGCCTTGGTACGGCCGAGAGTGGGGAGAGTCCGCCCTACCTCTCGAAATGCTCTTACATGGCCACGCGTGTATAGCCTGTGCCAGGGAAGTCCTACTCACTGCCTTCTCGTGGCGGGGGCGTTGTTTACGAAATTGAGAGGACGAAAGCGAATGTCCGGCGCTTCAACCGGGTCGGTGGACACGGATAGTCCATCTAGGGGTGTTGGAAAACCCTGATTCCGAACCAATGGTGCTCCAGTATCTTGAGGGAACAAATGGCGTGTGAATCAATCTTTGGTCACCGGCTACCATGGAACTACATCTCCTTACGATGCTCCACTGCCCTGTGGATCAGATCTTTAGGTCAAAGGCCCCGAGTGTGGCCCCCTAAGAAAGCCACCTGCTTCAGTTTGGGCACCTGGACAATTTCACAGCCCTCACACAGATCGAGATTTGTGTGGCGCATATATATCTGGTGCTTCCTTGCACCAATATTTATGTGTTTAAATAATATATATATATATATATATATATATATATATATATATATATAATTTTAAACACATAAATATCATGGCCATTTAGTCTAATCGACTCGTGTCATGCTTGAACTCAATACCATATTTGTAAATAAGTTAAGACTAGCATATAAATTTATTTTGAGTTTCAAATCCCATTAAATTGTCTAACGTTTCAGAAATGTCACTAGAATTGTACACTAAAAGACTCAACGAAATCGTTCGTCCATCAGGGGACGTTAAAGAACAACTTTTGTCAGCAATCAAGGACATCGCAGCAAAAATAGATCATCTAAAAGAAATAGTTAGTTGCAGTTTCTTTTTTCTTTGTAACCTTAATGAAGATCTTTCTTTCAGAAAATTGTGAGATCTCTCATTTTTGTCACGCGTCTGAAGATCTAAAAGTTCGCATGGAAAAGTTGTTTGAGGGAGTATCAAAAAATCAAGAACAGATGGTGGGCCTACTTCCTAAAGTATCCCCTTTGCACGATGTAGCATATCCAGTAATACAAGAATGTGAAGCCTTAACAAAGCAATTGAGGATCTTGGAATTCGCTGAACACTTGTCATTTCTTGAGTAATCTCACTTCTCTTCATCTATATATTATCTGTAAGGTCTGGTGTATTATCTGCTAGGATAATTAATGACAAAGACACTCAAATTGGCTCAATTAAACAATATTTTTCTTTCCTTAATACTCAGTTATCGACTGATCCGGACATTTTGCCCTCTATTTTGGAACAATCTCAACAGCATGAAACATGTTTAGATTCCTTGTCATATTTAATGACGTAAGAATTTCTAAATTAAAGGCTATTTCTAGGGATTTTGAGTGCTTATTAAAGAAACTAAATTTTCCTGTTATTATATCTGAAGTTCTTGAGGAAGGAGGATTACAAACGTGGTGTGATGATGATTTGCAATTATTCTCAAATGACTTTCAAGCTCTTTCTACATTCGATATTTCGTATCCTTTCATGAACAGACTATTAACATTAAGCCAAAACTATGTAACATGAGTTAAAAAAAGCAATTTTAAATGAATCATTTATGCTAGTCATCAGTTGCATTGAAGACAACTTATTCAAGGTTCAAATGAAAACTACTTATTTGAAGGCCTTTTGATTTGTTTTGAACTTTCATTAACAAGCAAAAATACCGAAAGACCACACTGTGTAGCAGTTTGATTAGACTACAAGTAAATATGATGATAATTACTAATGAAGAAAATAATCTCTTTGCTCCACGTTGTTATCCATTAGTCTGTCTGTTAAAGGTGAAGTTTACAACGCATCAGTGAGAGTTCTGCTCTATGTTTGTAAAACCTGTACCTTCCAATCTAAAGATGTACATCGATCCCTTATTTTCTATAATCGTTGTTTTTGAAAGATTACTGATATTCCGTGACAAAATCACGTTCGGCATTGTGTTTGGCGCAACGATGGTGATTCGGTTGATGCCATCATCTCGGGACACCAACTTTAATGGGGTGGTTATATTATGCTAATGTCATCTTAACGACTACATCGCTTATTATTTGGCGACTTTTGAACTGAACATAAAATGTAGAGTTGGCCAGTTTATGACGCACCCCCGTAGGATAAAAGGTGGTTGCATGTGACTAGCATCTGTTGGTCCATCACGACTCGGCTGGAGCCTTAGAGATGACTTAAGACGTTATTAGGTATGGCTCAGAATAGAAGCTAGTGTCCATCCTTTAGTTTCCTACTACACTTCATTATTGCCAAAGGATCATCCTTGACTAAAAAGTTCTTTTGAGAATGACCTTAATGCCCTTCATTTTGGTTTAATTTGTATGATTTTTTTTGTCACGACTGTACGCTGCTGTGTAATACAGTAATAAGCAGTATGTGTGACGTACTCATCAGTCATTAATCTACTATCTTATTTCCTTCTGTTTTCATAATTTACACAAGTATTAAGCCATATCCTTTTAACTCGTTTTTATCAGTCATCTAAATATTTTAATATCGAAACCGTTACTAATAGATATATGCTTTCCAATGCATATTATTCTGGCTCCTATGGAAAAACGTTTTCGTTATCACTTTTGTGGCTCGCAGAAGACAAACAGGATCGATATGGTACATTTACAAATACATATTTAACCACAAACTTTTATTTAGCCTGAATGGTACATGTCACAAGTTCTTCAGTGGATCCGAACAAATGATTATTTTGTTACAGTGGTCGATCGTGATTTTATCTCTGACAAAGACAATACTCCTGTTAGCGTCCGAGTGAGTTTTAAAATGAAATCTCAAAAGTGTTTCCACTTTATCATAATCACTATATGTGTACAGATTAACATCATTAGTGTGTGTTAGTTTTTCTCGTAATCAACTGTAGGGTTTCTTTACAAGAAAGTTTATAATCTGAATATATAATTTCATTCAGGTTTTATTGTAAACTCCAAGCCGTATCTGGTTATATGGATTTGATGGAATGTATCATTTCTAAGGCTTGATAATTGTCTTTTACAGTGAAAGCAAAATAACAACTTATTGTTTAGGTACTTCGAAGAGTCATACTGTAAGTGTAGATCTAGTGATACTGGTCGGCTTTCCAAATCATAGTTAGAGCGGGATTCGAACCTAAGATCTAGTGACAGAAAGTCAATCGCCTTATCCAGCAAGGCACTGCTCTACGTATGTTTTTTGTACATGATGTAAACTGTATTACAGCGACATGGTTGTCAGGTTAGGCTGTACGTTCTAGAAATTAGTGTATATCAGATTGTTCAACACTACTTGGCGTCAAAAGTGCATCGGGAATGAATTTTATCAATCATTATCAATATAACTCATTTGGAGAGTAAATGTTTATGTACTCGGCTTCGGGCTACACTATTTGTAAGACCTAGTGCTACTGTTGAAGTGGTGTTCAAACATGTTACCTATCGAATTTTAAGTAGCATTCTGAAAGTCTTGCTGACGAGTAATTTAGATTTGAGATTCCCTACCTAATCCTCACGGATATTATGATCTTTAATAGCGTGTACATCAATAACCTACTCAGTTTTCATATAGGATTTGTTGTTTAAGTACTGCGCGTTTAATGCACACAAAGGTGGATTGAGAACTTGACGGTTTATTTCACACACTTGATACTCAGGACTTGTACAAAATCCTACACCGAAAAAGCTGTAGAATGTGCCATCACAACTTGGCTACGCGAAGTTTATCACACTAACGTTAGTCAAAAACTTTGCTTACTTAATTTTACTTACTCCTTCTGCCCCTCATGGAGGAGCATAGGCCACCCAAGTCAAAACCTTGCTCACAGCAAATCATATAAATAACTGAACTAGCTGAATAAAAGGTACCCATCGTAAATTAGTACTATCAACGAGTTGACATAAGTGAGTATTATGATATTAATTGTGCAACTGAAGTACCACGAAAAGCTCAATGTGGTACATAAGTCTATAATTTTGTGTCCACTAATTCAGTGGTAGGCTATACTTGTATCTAGATCAGCTTAAGGATTTTTGCTTAATTTAATGAGATGACATTGCTGTTTTCTTTAGTTGCAGCTCATGCGCGGTTTGGTCACATTGCTATTAGACAAGCTACACTATGACCTTGGTCTATCTGCTTTTATGCCAGTACGATTTGGTTGCCAATTTCAAATGCGACGTTCTAATTCTGAAATAGAAAGTTGTCCTATGGATTCTAATCCCGGTAATAGTTCCAGTAGTGAATTGCTAGAAAATGCACAAAATTTCAGCCACTTAATTGATGTCATATTACAGACAGATGCGAAATTAACTCAGCTAGCATATCCAAACGATTATCCTAAACCGAGTGACGTGCTTTCACATCCCAAAGTTTTTTCACGTTGGCTTTTACTAGAACAGCGTTTAGCTTCTGATAGATTAAAGCTTGTCCTCGGAAATTTCTCATCTTGGTCTGTTGTTGACGAAACTGAAAAGCGGTAAGTATAAATTTTTATGGTACCATGTCAGTCAGTTGCTTAAATGTTACGTGATTGCTAAGTAAAACACTTAACTACAGCTTTAGTCTTTTATGTTTCAGTATATATTCTTCAAGATTCCGAAGACGTTCATTGTTTAACCCAGTGTTCAAGTATTGACTAACACTGGTGTACAAAGTACATTCATTATGCAGTGGTAAGCAATACTGCTTAGTTATCAGAGACGAAACAGGTGAAATGCGATTCCTACTCATCAGCCTATGATAGAGTCAATTGTTTAGACAGCTAACATAGCTCCGCTAAATTTCAGTGATTTTAGAATTTTTCAATTAATATTCAACTATATGAAATCCAGCAGTGATATGATTTGTCAGTGATCTGCAGACACGTTGTCCGGAAAATGTCCTGGAAAGTACTAACACATACAGATCGATATTTTGACCAATAAAGCTTCAATTATTTTAAATATTTTATTAGTTTTGTAAATAGTAACACCATTTTTTTGACTTAAAACTAATTTTTATCATTAACTGCTTAAAATCTTTGGTGTTCATTCTTATACGTCTGGTGTGAAGTGTTTTGTGATTATAATCTTCCCTGCTTATAAAGTCTTACAAATTGTGTTCAGAAGTACATTTCTTTTGACTTTGTTGCATCAAGTGGCAACCTTAAGCTTCTAATCTTTACATTTGTATTCACAACAAAGTAGTTCTATAAAGGCTTTTCTCTATAATGTGTATACTACTTCTTTACAAAAACTTTAAAGTGATTGTTTGACAGTTTATTTACTTATTGATCAAATATACATTTTCTTTAGGAAACTTCTATCTTGTCTTAGTTCATCTTCATTACTGAATTAATCTATTTTGATACTAAAAATACAAAAATTTTCGTAGTGTAAAGAACTTATGCTATTAAAATTTTCTTTTCTTTAGGCCCCAATGTGTCGATGATTTCATTGCACTTCTTCATGCTGTAGGTTTTAGAAGTCGACAACTATCTGACAAAATATCACGGGCTAGATTTGTCCAAATTCAGTTGAATTTAATTCGTGAATTTTTTAATTATATCGTGTTGTCAGCACGTCGGAAATTCGAAAATAATGACTTAAATGACCTTGGTCAGTCAAAAAACAAGTCTGAAGTTAGCAATGCTAAAACTACAATGTTTGGAAGTTTGTTTTCATCACGTAGTCGCTCGCCAGATGCTAGTTCAGAAACTAAGAAGATTTCAATCATCAATCAGTTATTCAATTGTTTTGTTGATGGGATTGGCCAGCAATTATCTTCTCGCTGGATAATTGTGTTGAATGCAATCAAATGTCTTCACGATGTGATGTTGGAATGGGCCAATGATCAAGTTAGTTGATCATCGTGTATTTATAAGCTTTCGTGAACAATACTTCTAAATCATATTAATAAGATAGGTTTTATCGATCTACATATAACTAGTCCCTTAGTCATTTAGTTGACTACTGTTTGTTATCGATTTCAAATCAAGAAGTTCCTAATGAACTTAACACGTTATCTATACTGTGATAAGGAGAATCTAGTGTTTGATTATAGGGATTTTCATCATAGTTAACGAGTGAAATATATATTTCAATTCTTTTGAATACTTTAATACAAGAGGCAATCTTAGATAATAAAATACCCAATTATTATCCGACAAGAAACTAATTTTACCTGGAGTTACAGTCACATGTTTTTCTGGTTTCTGTTAACGATTCCTTCTTCATATGCTATAGTATTTAGATCTTTCGGTTAAAGTCCACTCGTAACAATTCGATCTTGTTTATAAATTGACATTCTTTATTTAACTTAGTATTTCCTGAATAAATTATTCTTACCATATATTACTATTATTAGTATCAGTATTAGTAGTAAATTTGAGAGTTTTCCGCCTCTTTACGTATGGATATATTCTGAACACTAGCTTTAGAAATATATATCAGTAATCAGTTACAGGTTCATGCACTCTGGTTTCGGTCATAGATTTTGTAGATAAAGGCTAGAGATACTTCTATCAGGGATTTAAAGTCAGATCATTTTACCAATAAACTATTTTATTAGATGTCTGACATAGGTTTCGATTTCAAGAGAAAACAAAGTTGCCGCCAAAAATATGAATACCATGAAATTTCGAAATAATATCGTGGTTTTTCAATCTCTTTTAATTTATAGTATTATGTGACATTTTGGGAAGATTTAAGCACTCGTGCCTTATTACAACTTGGAGATCCTTGGCTAATTGATATTGGTCTTTGTCCTCTTGTTACCGATGGAATAGTAAGTGAGGTAAGTGACTTGATATCTATATATATATATATATATATATATATATATATATATATATATATAATACCCAGTTATAGGTATATGATTAGAAATATATCTGACGTTCATACTCATCATTATTTATCGTTAATTATGCTTGTCTACTTGAAAGTTTAGGTTGATATCATTTAATTGTACAATTGGTAACGTCAATTTTAACGTATACTGACTACGAACAAACTTTACAGGGTCGTACCGACCGTTATTCTTTAATTGTATTTTGTGTAGTAAAGTTATTATGGTAAAATTTGAAAATTGTCAGTTTTTATCCAACTTTTGAACCACTGTTAAAGTTTTTGTTTATATCTGTCCAATCCCATTTATTTCTTGTTCGTATTTTTAACATGACTGAGGCCATCAGGTTAGAAACTCTATCCTATATTGATCAGCCATTGCTTATTACTTCCCATGTACTAAAAAAATATCTAAAATAATCTGAAATCTGCTACTCAATCCTTCTTTTTTTAACCTTGTAGGCAGGCATCTCTGTTCACTCAAATTCAAGATTAAGTTAACTCATATATACCGAAAAGTCATCAGAAAACTCTAAAGCCTTTGTAATTATCTTTGTTTTAATGATTACTATACTCGATCCTCTAAGAATCACTTTACTACCACCGGTGGCCATTCCAATCTTTATAGTAGTACATGTTTTGGTTTCGAAATAGCGAAAAAAGTAACATCTTGTTGGTCTAGTTGTGAGATTATTATAATACTTCAATAAATACAACAATTCAATCTATTACCACTCAAAAATAACCATGGGGTTTAAAATAAGCTGAAGAATCTCCTATTATGATTACGTTGTCGAGAAATATCTCTGATTTTATCAAGTTATAAACATCATGTCTGTTCATCGACACTTCATGGAGTTAATAATTGATAACATGCCGAACTAAATGTCATTATCGTATGTCAACTAATTCACACCAGTTAACTAACACCCGCGTCCGCTTGATGACTAAGATAATAGTTTAGCAATAATCCTTTACTGTGGTATCTAGCTTTCAAACTAATAGCATAAAATCCAAGTTCTCTCAAAAATGATTAACTAATTGGTCATTTCTCAGCTATTTGAAACCTACTATTTTGGATCGCAATCAAAAACGTTCATCGTGAATTTTGAGAAACAAATAGAAAAGATCAAAGTCAGTGCCAAAACAGTATAGCTTCATTGTTCTAGACTATCAGCAATCAACACTATACAATTGCATTACTTACTTACACCTGTTACTCCCAATGGAGCATAGGCCGCCGACCAGCATTCTCCAACCCACTTTGTCCTGGAACTTCCTTTCTAGTTCTATCCAATTGTTGTTCATTCTTCCCTGTTCTTTGGTTTTCTCTTTTCCTTTGGCTTTCATGATTCCAAGTGAGGTCTTGCCTTGTGACACAGTTGGGTGCTTTCCTCAATGTGTGTCCTATCCACTTCCTGCGCTTCTTCTTGATTTCTTCCTCCACTGGAATCTGGTTTGTTCTCTCCCACGGTAGGTTGTTGCTGATAGTATCTGGCCAACGGATCTGAAGTATTTTGCGTAGACAACTGTTGATAAACATCTGTATCTTCTGGATGATGACTTTCGAAGTTCTCCAAGTTTCCGCCCCATACAGTAGAACTGTCTTGACATTTGTATTGAAAATTCTGATCTCGGTGTTGGTTGACCGTTGCTGCTACCTTGACGTGGTGGTTGGGCTTGCCTATCGTGATAAAGCAACCGAGCTATGCTGGCTGGAACAATCGTTCCTCAAGGTCCTACCGTGCCAGATAGGTCAGTTAAAGAGCGGTAAGACTAAAAGCAGCAATCCCAAGGTCAGAAGGCGAAGTCGTACTGCTGACTGTACAGAGGTGTGACAGCAGTAAGGTGCTTCCTTCAGACAACCAGCATGACAGCGATGCTGCCTTCCCACAAGGAGGGGTGGGGTTAGAAAAGGTCGACCCTAAAAATGCACACCTCGCCTTATCCCACGGATTTCCGTCTCCGGCGGTAAGATCCTTTGAAGAACGGAGCTAACACGTCAAAAGTCCCTCACAAAAAGGCCGTACGTGACCGGCCTCAAGCAGTTGTCCCTTGGGCACTGTGGTCACGCTCCCGGGTCGTTCAGACCAACACTAATCCAACTTCTTTTTCAGGTCCTTCAAGAAATACCCTTCCACGGTGTGGGCAGCCGGGAAGTGATAAATGCCCTCATACCCCTAACAGCACACGAGACCAAGTTGGTCACTTTCAAATCCTTCCTACACCTCCTAACAACTCTCTTGTCTCCTCGACTAACCCTTCCCACGTCCTTTTATCACCTCGCACCGCTAGGGCAAACGATTCAAGTACACGGAACGTTATTCCTGGTCTCTTGAAACCACGCTCTAAACTACATATAGGAACTTTTAATGTCCAAACATTGTGCCAAATAAGTCAACAGGCTTCCTTAGCTAGAACTCTAGAATCTTACACCATCAATGTGTGCTGCGTCTCCGAAACGCGCATACAAGATCCGAGTAGCGTCATTCATTTGACCTCACCTAATCAAAATAAAGGACCATCTCGGTACGCTTCGTGTATCTGGAAGCCCTGATACTGCTTCCCGTGGCCTCGCTGGAGTAGGCATAGCATTAAGTCCTAGGGCAGAACTAGCTCTTTTAGACTGGATCCCAGTAGACAGTCGTCTATTCGCTGTCCGACTAAACGGATCAGTAAGAACTCGAAAAAATAGGGAAACTCGTCGTTACCTCTTTGTCGTCTCTGCCTGCTCTCCCACTGACTGCAGCTCAGACGATATAAAAAATGAGTTTTACAGGAAACTTTCTGACCTTCTCTGAAAAGCTAGGTGTTCTGATGTAGTAATAGTGGCTGGTGACTTTAATGCTCAAGTAGGTAAACCGTATTATACTCCTTGAATAACATCTTCAAACCCCTATCTTTCACATAATACTTATACTCTAACTACTTCTACCAATATGGGATTTGAATCGACAACTTCATCTCTGTGCTAATGTAGTATGACAACTCGAACTGATGTACGTACGTACGAAGTTCTACGTTGTAACTGACTGACTGACTGACAATTGTTTTGAGTTCCAGATGTTATTCAATTGTAGATATGCTGCTTTTGCTTTGCCGATTCTCGCCTTCACATCTGCATCAGACCCACCGTGTTCATCAACGATGCTGCCCGGATATGTAGAGGTTTTTACATCCTCCAACGTTTCTCCGTCAAGTGTGACTCGATTGATGCATGCTGTGTTGTATCGGAGAATCTTGATTTTCCCTTTGTGTATGTTAAGACCTACTGCTGCTAAGGCTGCTGCTACACTGGTTGTTTTCTGCATTTGTTGTTGCGTTTGTGATAGAAGAGCCAGATCATCTGCGAAGTCTAGATCGTCCAGCTGCTTCCTATCTGTGCACTGTATCCCACGCTTTCCCCCAGATGTTGACATCTTCATAATACAGTCAATCACCAGGAGAAAGAGAAAGGGCGAGAGTAAGCAACCTTGACTGACACCGGTCTTTACCTCAAACGAGTTAGTGAGTTGTTCTTTATGCACGATTTTGCAGTCTAATTCATCATAGGAGTTCCGTATGATACTATCTTCTCAGGCACGGTGTAGTGTCGAAGAAGCCTCCATAGTGTTGTCCTGTCCACTCTATCAAATGCTTTCCCGTAGTCAATGAAGTTGATGTAGAGTGATGAATTCTATTCAATTGATCGTTCCACAATGATCTGTAGAGTTGCGATTTGGTCTGTACACGATCGATCCTTACGGAATCCAGCCTGTTGGTTTCGAAGTTGGGCGTATACGGAGTCCTTCATTCTGTTTAACAATGCCCTGTTGAATAATTTTCCTGGTATCGAGAGAAGAGTGATGCTCCTGTAGTTATCACACTTGCTGAGATCGCCTTTCTTTGGTATTTTGATCAGAAATCCTTCTTTCCAGTCTGTTGGTATTTGTTCTTCATCCCAAATCTTGTCGAAGAGAATGTAGTTTATCTTTGCAGTTGCTGCTACATCTGTTTTCAGTGCCTCTTCTGGAATGTTGTCTGGTCCTGCTGCTTTACCGCTCTTGATTTGTTTGATGGCCATGCTGATCTCTTCAGTTGTTGGTGAGTGGGCTTACATCAATTGGGAGGTCCGTGGGTGCTACTTTAATGTTGGGTGGGTTCAGTGGAGCTGATCGATCCAAGAGTTCTTTGAAGTGTTCTGCCCACCTGTTCCATAGTCCTTCAATGTTGGTGATTACCTTGCTTTCACTGGTCGTTCTGGTTTACGGTAATTTCCAGCGAGTTTCTTTGTTGTATCATAAATTGTCTCATGTTTCCTTCTCTTTCAGCTTTTTCCGCGGTCATTGCTAAATCTATCACATATTTACGTTTTTCAGTTTTGATGCTCCTCTCCACTTGCTTGTTTACTTCTGTGCATTCGGCTTGTGCCTTGGCTTTTTCTGCTCTTGCTCGGCTAGTATTGATTGCTGCCTTCTTGTTCCTCCTTTCTTGAATCTTATTCAGTGTACCAACAGTAATCCATTCCTTGTGATGGTGCTACTTGCGGCCCAGGACCTCCTGACACGTTGAAGTGATTGCCTCTTTTATCCCTTTCCAGTTGCTCTCCATAGTAGTTCCCTCTCCACTGAGTAGGTCATGAAAGGCCTGGAACTTATTGCTGAGGGCTATCTTGAATTTGTTGAGTCTGTCAATATCGCGAAGAAAAACCGTATTAAACTTTTGTGATGTTGTCTGCCCCGTTGTCCAGTGCTTTTTGAGTTCCGATTTCATCTTGGCGACCAGCAAGTGATGATTTGAGGCTATATCAACTCCTCTCCTGGTTCTCACATCTTCCATAATCCTCCTAAACCTTTTATTAATGCCGATATGGTCGATTCGGTTCTGTGTAACATGATCCGGTGAAGTCCAGGTAGTTTTGTGAATGCGTTTGTATGGGAATATAGTGCCACCTATGACTAGTTTATTGAAAGCACATGATGTCTTCATATCCGGTGTTGTCCATTCCAACCTTGGCGTTTAAATCTCCCACCAGAATGGTCAGGACCTTTGTTGAGCACTTCTTGACGATCGACTGCAGCCTATCGTAGAATTGGTCTTTAACGTCTTCATCGAAGTCGTTTGTAGGCGCATAGCATTGGATGACGTTCATTGTAATGTCCTCTTTCTTTGTTTTGAAGGAGGCTTTGGTGATCCTGGGTCCATGGGATTCCTATCCTATAAGTGTTTTTTGTGCTTGTTTGGATAGCATCAGTGCGACGCTTTGTGTATGTGGAACATTTTCTTCTTCATGACCGGAGTATATCAGTAGCTCTCCTGAAGCTAGTCGTTGTTGTCCAGCCTTCGTCCAATGTGTTTCACTGGTTTCAAGCACCTCCAGGTTGTATATTTTCATTTCTGCAGCAACTTGGATGACTCTCCCGGTCTCCCACATTGTACGAACATTCCGTGTGCCTAAATTAATAGTTCCTCTGGTTGTCAGAAGGGGCATCGGCCTCGTGGCTTCCGAAGGAACTCGGCTTTCACCATGAGGTGTCGTAATTCTTCCTTCAACTCTCAGGGCAGAATTTAAATGGTTTGAATTATTTTTTCTGGTTAGCGTTTTTTAGCGAGTCAGTTTTCTACATGACCGGGTCGCTAACTTCACGTCCAATCGTCATCCTTTGTACGGGCTGGAGACCGGCAGTAGCCTCAGAGGTGCTCCAGGCGGAGTTATACAATGGCATAACAGTTGAAAATCAGACGAATTTCATAATTTACTTTTACACTTCACTTGAGTTTGCTTCTTAAACTAGTTCGATTTTGTGGTCTTGTATATATATATATATATATATATATATATATATATATATATATACAGCTAAGTGATAATGCGATACGTTTTTAAACCCAAGGCATCTTCTGTATTTTCATCGACCTAATTACTAAGCGCTTATCTCTTTTATTCTATGATTGGTTTGATAACTCACTTCAGCTTCATAGTTTGAATACACTTATTGTTTGACTTGTAGCTCAGTGCTTGTAAATTGTTTATTTGTTTTAGATAATACATACCCTGGTTTATAACTGTTTGTACAAAAACAACCATGTTTTATATCATGGTTTTTGCTAATAACATTTCTGCACATTACAATTATTTCTAATATCCTTCTCTAACTATGATGTTTCATAGTCTGTCTTTTCTTAATAGTCAGAACAAAATGAAAATGAAACATTTGACGAGTTGCACTCTTCCAATACTTACCTTGGTTTACATGGTGGTGTTTTCACTCAGGTTGGTTGTGATATCTAAATGTAAAGTTAATAATGTCTTTTATTTATTTGATAATAATTGATGTAAGCTTTATATTTTGTTTTATTCTGTATATTAGTTACTAAAATTATATAGTGGCTTGATGAATAACAGGTATGCATCGTACTATTTTATACGGTAACAAAAAGCTTTTTGTCTTATTCTACTTCTAGACAATGTTTCTCCAAAAATGCATACTGTCTCGAATAATTAAATTTGCGTCACTCACGGTTTCATTTGAGACGTTACCGATAAGTCATTGAGTCCAATTTTGTGTTTTGGTCTTATCTGAGACAACTTTCCTGAGAAGGTTTCGAAACGTTTCAATCAAATACTTCATATATACGACCTTACTTCATATCCAATAGTGACCTTCGCCAAATCTCATCAACTATGCAGATAAAATGCTTTGGGAATCAGTTTCGATCGGTTTTTAGACTTTTTAATCATACACACCCGTAACTGCGATTGCAATCAAATCTAAGGTCATCGGATTTTACGGCCAATACATTATCATTCACTAGATACTATAGTCCGGATGCGATCAAAGATGAGTTTTACCAACAGCTAACAGTTCTACAGAAAGTGATTTTGACCGATATTGTAGTACCAGTCGGCAAATCGAATGCTCAGGTTAGGCGTCTATGCACAAAAGAGAGTCGTTTAGGTGGTCGATGGGGACTTGTTGGTTTCAAGTCAGACGATGGTGACCATCTACTGCATCTGTGCGCAGACTACAACCTGTTTTTGGCTAGCACTAACTACTGGCACAATCATCGCCAATATATTTCCTGGCGTCCTCCCTCTGCATTGAAGCTTGGACTCAGATTGATCACATCACGATCATCTACCGCTGGTGTAGTTGTGTTCAAGATTGCCGCTCATTTTGGAATGTCTATTTGAACTCTGATAGTGCTTTTGTTTGCGCTAGTCTTACCTTAATTTTCAGTGGTCAACAAATTCATCGTCCTAAACGGATCGATGTCAACAAATTGGTTGCAGCTTCTCTTGCAACTAAATATTAAACCAAACTAGGTTTAATTCTAGGTGTCATCCTACCGAAAAGTATAGATGAGAATTGGCTGCAGTTGCATGCTGCCATGAATATGGCGAGTAAGGTCGCTTGCGGCTTCGCGAAACATCCCGCTCATAAGCACTGGGTTTCCTCAGGCTGTTTACAACTGATCGAAGCACGTTGGTCTACTCCGAATGACCGCCAGTTTGACCATAAACGATGGTGACGAGTTTCTGGTTATGGAAATGACTGAGTTATTTACAAAGATCTGGCAATCAGAGAGTGTCCCAACATCGTGGAATGAGTCGATAGTTGCGCCTCTCTTTAAAAAGGGTTCACGTCATTCCTGTAACAACTATCGGGGGTTAAGTCTACTTCCGATTGCGTCCAAACTATTGGCTTCTATCATACTTCGTAGGTTGTTCAAAACCCAAGAAAGATATTATTTATTTATACCAAGAAAGATTGATTCGCGAGGAGCAGGCTGGATTTCGTTCCGGTTGAGGATGTATTAATCATATTTTCACCCTCCGCCAAATGTAAGAACACCGTCATACTTATCACAGGTCAATAATTGTGTTTCCTGACATTAAGGCCCCCTTCGATTCGTTGGACAAGACTGTTCTTTAGGATTGTCTATTGAAGAGGAGTGTACATGAAAAGTTTATTAACATGTTAAAATCCCTATACACTAATACTTCAGTCAGAGTGAGGGCACACAACCACCTCTCTCCATTGTTCCATTCAAGCAGTGAGTTTAAACAGTTCCCCAATTTCATCATTCTTCTTCAACTTTGCCTTTGACGAATGTTCTAGAAACAGGTCTGATGGATGTAGGTGGTGGCAGGGTAGATCTGTTGCCTAGAGATAGACTTTTGATCTTGAGTCTGCGGATGATATTGTCTTACTGTACGATGATACAAAAGCTATGCAACCCTCACCTAATCAGTTGGCAATCAGTGTCCGTAGGTATGGTATGTGCTTCGCACCTTCGAAGTGCAAAGTTCTTTTACAAGATTGACAGGACCCTGATCCTACACTCACCCTGGGTAGTGAGCTAATAAATGTAGTCGAGGAGTTTGTTTATCTAGGTAGCTGCATAAGTGCTGATGGTGGCGTGAGCGATGATACCAATTTAAATATAGTGAAAGCCAGAGTGGCTTATGCCAACCTGGGCCATTTTATCGTCTTCCTGATGTTAGGCTGGTTGTAAAAGGTCGGATCTACAACGCGTTGGTGAGAGCAGTTTTGCTCTATGCTTGTGAGACCTGGCCACTCTGAGTTGAGGAGTTTAAGCGACTCTGTGTTTGGTTATTGTTGTATACGAATAATTGCTGACATGTATTAGCAACACCATGTTAGTAATGCAAAGATCCGTCATCGCGTGTTCGGATACAGCAACGATAATACAATTGGTGCCATTACCTTGAAACTTCGACTCCGGTAACTTGAACATGTTCTACGAATGTCGTTCCACAAAATTCCACGTTGTGCATTATTTGCCGACGGCGGGAATGGTTGGAAAAAACGGACGGGTGGTCAGGGTACGACATGGTGTCATGGTATGGTGGAAAGTCGTACAAGACGGGCTTCTGTTAGTCCTACACGACTCCCTGATTGATGTCCTAATGATGGCACAACATAGTGGCTAGAAACGTTATCAGGTGTGGCTCAGATTGGAAGCAAGTGTCGATCCTGCCGTAACTTTCTTCATAAAAGCGAACGTAACTTTTTTAATTGCATAAATTAAATCTGTTCATGTAAACCGTTTTTCAGTTTCCCTTCTATGGAGTATACCAGAGTTACAAAGAAACCAGTTCTCCATATCTACTTATGGTAGTCAGCTTTTGTTATTAATTATTCTTTTTGACTAATTATGTCTCTGTAACTCTGACAAACTCAATATCAACGCAATAAATGTCCATAGAAACGCTACTAACTTCACTAGTTGGCTTTATAGAGAGACTTAATTTGTGATAACTTCTAATATACTTTAATGAAATAGAGAGACTTAATTTGTGATAACTTCTAATATACTTTAATGAATTTTCAAATAATCCTACACACTACTCAACAGTCTGTCTATTTTTGATACCATTTCGGTTGTTAAGGTTTTGACTGCTTCATTGATTGTGTTTAATGTGTTTTCATTTTCTTTTGAACTTGTATTTGCTAATCTCGGCATAATACTACTGACGCTCGTTTTGTTTCAGTTTCACGGTTTAAAAGCAGGCTTTCGCAACAGGTGATTACTCCATGTCCTATCTTGTTCAAAAGTATTATTTTCTATTTTCTTTTTCAACAATTCAACAGATGCTAAGATTGTACGATGGTGAAATTAAAAATATGTTGAAAGAAACAGTCGATTTAACATTGACAGATTTAAAAAGTAAATCTTTGGTATATGTTTATGCAACTGATCACTGGCTTCGGGCTAGTTCTGTATCCGGTTATTTAAGTAATACGAAAAGTGAACTCTCCAATTTAATGATGTCAACTAATGCGCCAGCATTCTTTCTTGCATTACGTGACTGGTTGTATCATTTGTCAGAATCATTACATCCAAAACTTTTCACACACGTATGGAAAGAAATTGCATCACAATTGGATGATTATTTGTATAATGAGGTATGTTGTGACAGCTTAATTTATCTATTAGTTGAGTTTGCTTAAACTGCGCCAACTTTGATTTTACCTCTATTCCTCCCATAATTTCGAATATTGCACTTGCGATATAAACAACTAGATGATCGATGAAACAATATTGAATCTGGCTACCTCTATGGATTGATCTGTTCAAATTCTCTTTTAGGGAAAGTGAAAAAAACAGTTAATCATGACGATATGTATTATGAATACATTAATGTAGAGTAGTAGATTTTTATTGTTTATAGTTTAGATGGGAAAATGTACTCATATCATAAACTAAACTTCCTGTCACTATTTAAAAGCGTATGACTCCATAGAAATCTGATTTTATACGAAGAAATATATCTAGTGACAATAGTCTCTTTTTTCACTCTTCGTTTCTTTCCTTCCTAGAATATACAGTCCACAATTTTCATCAAAACTATTCCATCTTCTACACTTGTTAATTTCATGTTAGATACTTAGAAACGACAGGAGTACTTATACCAAGGTTTCATGTACCAATCACCAAGTCTGAAGAAATTATTTACCTCGAAAAATTCACACCTATATCTATCAGTGTGTTATAACTTGTAGACTGTGTGCCCTGTTTAATATATGACGTGATAATACCGCCAATTAGAGAGTAGTTAATTATCGATCGGACCAATGACACACGAAACCCGTACGAGCGGTCTATAGTCCTTATCGGTCCTGCTTTCCGCCTAGCCCAGCCAGTTAAGTCCAGAACACTAATATCAGCCTCTGCAATATGAATTATTTTTTTCAAACATACTAGGTTTATGTACCAACCAGACAGGCCACATCGTACCATAAAATAGGAAACATCATTTGTACGAGATTTAGCCAAATGTGGGAGACAGTAATTAATAGACTGTGGATAACTCAAGAATGGTAAATCGTATAATAATTGTTCATAGATCAAAATAAAACTCATAATAAGAGAGACATGAATATGAATAGTTTAGCTATTTAACAATTATAAGATAAAAATATATGTATAGTATTGGTTCATAAATGGATCCCATAGTTACCATTCACTATTCTTATCGGGACATAACACAATGTTCTAAGCAAAGAGACTAAACTTTTGAACTGTTTGATTTATCTATTACATACTTTCATATTTTGTCCAGCGACTAAAAATGACTCAAAGTTGTTACTACTTATCTACTTTTGAAAGAAATATGAAGTCATGTTTCCTGTCATACGCCAAACTATAGCGCAATTTTAGCTTTAAAGTCAATTTCGGTTATATAATTACCAAAAACTAATCCTTCAGATACTTCAAAACGATTAGATTAACTGGAAAACATTCAGGTCAATCGAGTATTTGTTTAACCAAAGCAAAATGACGTGGATATTAGACAACTATTTTGTTCGTTCAGGCCCTAGGCCTTTAGATGTATGCTCGATTGATTCATTTTAAGGATTAGAATTGGTAAAACAATTTCACATTTATGTAACCGTTGACCAAATTTACAAAATTCACAATTCAGTATTTAGGATGAAATCGCTTTGGAGTTTCACAATTGAGTTTCATGTACACCTCTTACTCTACATTACCCAAACACTCGCTTTGAGTTAAAATGAATTCTGTTAATAATTAGGCATAAGTGATATGATGATAGAATGTCAACAAATGATACTCATTTGACATCTTTATGTAAACCTGTTTTTCAAACAGCTCATTCTATCAAATCGATTTAGTCCTCTGGGTGCTGCACAACTTCGTTTTGATCTTACTAACTACTTGTATCCAATGTTCAGTTTGTATACTGAACGTCCTGAGTCATATTTCTTTCAAATTCGTGATGCATGTGTTCTTCTTAATTTATTGCGTGGAACAGCCGAATTATTGAAAGAAACTATTATAGAATCAGTGAATAGCCAACAGAAGCGTGATAACGATCCACTTGGACCTTTACTTGAATTGGGCGTTTATAGACTAACTCCGGAAGAAGCTCTTCGTATTTTGTCCTTACGTGCTGTTCCAGAATAAGAGATTTTTTGTATATTCCGAAATATGACCTTCTAAAATGTCTTTCTTTCGTCCTTTTATGTTTTACTTCGAAGTGCTTTACTTGTTCTCAATGTGTAAATATAATTTAATTTCTTGAAAATATCCATATTTTATTAATTGCAGAACGTAACTTGAAGTTAATGTACTGCCGTTTATATCTTGATTTAACGTTTAATAAGAATTGTAGTTAATATTTGAAAAACTTGTATTCATGTCCATCCATCTCCAATCGCTTATAATGCAATCTACAATAAAGAACATCTTATTTGTGCTGATTTTATTAATTTGTTTCCCTCCTTGCTACTAAGCCTGATTTTCAAGGGAACACAAACAACAATTTCAGGTAAATATCATGAACTCATCTCATTTTGTTAGGTTTTATATTAGTTGGTACCAAATACGTGTATATGTACTTATTCACTTAACTCGGTCTCATTTCGTATTACGTTCACTAAATGGATATTGAACACTTCTTAGCATTAGTAGTATGTTTCGTGCACAAATTATGATTTCTTTAGAAAACTTTCTATTTCTTACGAAAGTAATCTCTTCAGAAAAACCATTTACTCTGTTAGTCACGTATTTGTTAACTCATCGAAATAGTTTCCTAATTGTTTTATCTAGAGCTTTGATTCTTGCTATGCCGCGCACTACTAGACTACTTGAACGATCAAACCGCAACGTCGCAAGAGAGAAGGCAGAAGACTAGTAAGTAGGAATGCTATTCCCAACATAGTGTCAAATATAGTACAAAAATCTCATGTATTTATAGTTTTTGGCTGAAATAAATCATCATTTCGGACAGCCAATAGGCACATAGGGAATCCTTCTTATTCACTCAGTAGGGGAGCTACATGTCAGCATTCTAGAATGTTCCTCTAGTGGTGATTGGATGGAATGTCTTCAGCTCTTTCTGGGCTTCTTGAGGCTTCCTTGAGTTTGCCAATGAGCCATCCTTACACTATTACACTTAACAAGGAATCAGAATAACTGAAGGGGAAAACAACCTGATCAAATTGGTCACTCGTTCATAGTGAACAGTAGTACATGCGCGTCTACCTGATGTCGATCTAGCGTTATGCTACCTGAAATATAAACTTAATCCTATTACCTGCCTTGGGACATATGCCCCCAACCAGGTATTTCCACTCAACTCTGACCTCCGCTATTCTTTTTAGTTGTTACCAAATGGACTGTTGAAACGATAATCTTGAAATTATGACCCTAACCTTGAGTCACAGTCCTTTTAATTATAGGAACGTTGTTCTTGCTTTACCAATCCATGCCCTCTTATCTGCCTCAGACCCTCCTTGTGTATCGATGATACTGCCCAGATACGTGAACTTCTCCACTTTTTCACAGCTTCTCCATCAAGAGTGTTTGGTTGGTGCTTGCTGTTTTTACTTCAGGATCTCGCTTTTTCCTTTGTGAATCTTGAAGCCTATTTCTGTTAAAGCTGTTGCTACACTTTGTGTCTTCATTTGCATTTATTTCTATGTATACGATGGAAGGGTTATCTACAGATCCACAAGTGTCCTCTGTATTTCATGCTTCTCCTGAGATGCGTAGGTTTTTGTAATCCAGTCAACAACCAGAAGAAAAAGAGAGTAGGAAGCCCTGAATGTTTTAAGTCCTGTTAGCTGAACTGGTTTTGCCGCTTCTATTTTACAAGGAGCTTTTCATCGGTCACTCTTAATTAAATTTAACTGGATATTTTTATTTTGAGTTAAGGTCAAATCGGAACCTACGTAACTTGACACAAATAAGAAATAACCGTAACTTGAAAATTGCCATTGTTTTATACAAAAACTGATATTCAATCAACTTATGAACTATTTGACATTGTTTTGTGAAAGGAATCTTATTGCATCACATTACAGACATAAACAGAAATTTTAATATGATATCACTTACATCCGTCTTCATTAAGTCAGTGTTTGGTCTAGAGGAAATTAATGTTTGTGACTCAGTACAATTTAATTAATAATTACTTAATGTCATTCTAAGAAATATTTGAAGTTTCTTGCATATCCTGCTTACATCTACTAGGCTTGATCTGCACAAGTAGTTCAACCATTGAAACTATACATGATTGTAGAAAAAGCAAGATTTTAATCATACTCTCTACTTTTTTGTATGGTCGTAGTTTTCAAACATAATATTTCAGTAGCTAGCGTAAATTGCGATAGGATGCGATTTAATATTCCTTTACCAAAACCTGGTGTTTACTAGGATTACATATACTATTTTTATTCGAAAATTGAGTTATGCGTGCCATATCCTTCAATGTTCATTATAAGAATTATGATGACCATGAATGGCATTAAGTTAAAGCTGTGAACCTGTTCATTTTTTACACGGTAGACATCCTTGTATTAAAGGAAATTTCTATCTTGATTTCATCGAAAATTATTTACTGCTACACACAGGTTGTGAACTTAAAAACATAGGTGTTATTGTTTGTGAAACAATACCTAACCTTTTACATATATCTTGACAGCACTGGTGATCATCATGCTCTTAGCTTTTAAAACACTTGATTTCCACCATTCAGGTCATAAGTTCTCACCTCACACACAATTCGGTTTGGATAGCTGGAAAGTATCTCTAGCCCTCATATACAAAAGTATGTCTGAAAGCCGAGTTTATAAAATCTTTACTTGGTCCAAAAACATATCATAAATTATATTTAAACCTAATTGTTAAACAAAAATGGATAGTGCCTATCAGTGGAGTCAGAGATGCGTGTTTCGTCCTATTTGGGACTGGTCAGCTGGATGTACCTGCATCTCAGGGTTGATGTTCACTCTGGGACTCGGGCCCAGTACCGTTCGCTTCAAACGCCATCGCATTATTCACTTAGCTACTGAGTCTTGATAGCCATTTGCTTGTGCAATGGGTAAAGTCTACAAAAAGCATACTAAATAATTATGGAGAAAGAACTTAAAGTTGCCAAAGAAGGTTGATGAAAACTACGTCAATAAGCAATAAAATAAATTTAGTTCATTGATTGTTTCAGAAAAGAAGGTAGTTAACTATGTCTAAAATGAACTTATCAAATTAACCTTCAATAATAAATACTCCGTTAGTGGTAATAAAACTATTGAAAGTAGTCAATAAGAATTAAACTTATCAAAATAAATCTTATTAGCTAACTTTTTTGAAGGATGAAGTCTTCCCCATCATGCTCCACATTTTAAATAATGTTTCACCGGAACTACCTGATTTACATTTCTTTCCTAATGCTGTTTTACAGTTGGATAAGGTCAAATCATAGTTACGGTAGTCGATAAATTGTTTAACTAACTATCAAACAGTTTAGTTTGCTTTATCTAACTAATTTGGTATTTTATTTCGACCAACTATCAAAGCATTATGGATGATTCCTGATAAATCAAATTTTAGAAAAATATCTGTATACGCTATCATGTCAAAATATCTAGTTAAGATCAAATACCAAATAAAGAGGCAGTCGCAGAATCTATCTTGTTGGTTTTATTACCCACGTTTTAAGAGGAGAAAAAGAGTAATGATACACCCCAAAGTTTGTAAAGTAATGTTTTTATAAAGTTCGTTTCTTTCTTTGATTAACGACGTATGATAACGAAAACTCACTGAGTAATTCCTGTTTTATTGGAAACATCAGTTCTCGTAGAGTGAACAAGATAAGAAGTTTTGATATGAAATATGATAAACAGAAAAAAGGAATCTATAGAAAATAGGTATTTTACACGAAGGAAAACATTCAAAAGGCATCAAGAAACATTATAGTCGTAAAGTTCAATGCAAAATTTATTTTGAATGATAATGGTTTAAATTATGTTGATCTGTAGGGTATATATAGTTTTTCAGGTTGATGAGACTTTGTTATGTTTGTAAGCTTGAGTTATATATCCACATAAATATATGCTATTAGATAATTCTCTCAATGCATCTGTGTATTTATAAGACAGGTTATAATGTTTTTGTTCAATGACTCGCTGTATACACATATCAATGTAAAACACTTGAAAATATTTGAGAAAAAAGAGGAGCTATCGATTCTATATACTTTATGGATGTTGAGTTTTCTACTCATTACAAACAGTGTTTATGTGTGGGTTTCATAATCCGTCGGTCGCATCACTTCGCAGTTCAGTAATTTTATTATTCATCAATGTTGACTCATCAGATGGTGATATTGTTTCTAATTTATCACTCAATATATTTGTCATGACGCTTTTAGGTACCTCAGAGGTGAACTCTGTATCGCAGTTTGAGTTTAATTCTGTTCTGTAGAAATTATGAAAATAAAATGTACAATATGGTTTATACATATACATTCAACATTAATCCTGTTAATTATAATCCACTTTACCAGTTGAAGACGCATAGTCAATCTTCTATGACTTCTCTTGGTAACGGCTAAAGTGAGATACTTCCGTTTAATAGCCTCACACTAATTTAAATCTGCTCACGATCAAATATATTATACCCTCTGACTATTACAATTTTCTCACTTGTCGTCGAAATAAAGAGTTTAGAATAGCTTTGTCACTGTCATGTGATTCTATATGAGAGGTTATCCATCCGTTTTCTAATGTTTTTATAAGTGCAATACCCGACATTTAAAAGTTCATTCAGTAGATGAATGCTTTATTTAAAAGTGATTTTCACTCGAGTTATCCACACAACCGTCTTCCATAAATACATCAAGGTTATGCATTCCAACATGATGAATGAAAAATACAAGTATAGTGAAGGTTGAAGCTTGAATTGAAATCTCCAGTGAATATTATGCACTTCTTTACAGCACCCCCCCCCCTCAATAAATGAACTGAAAATACTGGATACAATATACCTATTGACTCGCTAAAAACGTGATGGGTAATCTCACAATCCTATTGTGTCAAGTTATTCAAATCTATATATTTATGTTGCCAGTTACTGAGTAGTTCAATTACAAATGAAATTACCATTAATTTTTACTATTGCGTTCAGGAAAGTGTTATACCGTTATTTACAAACTGTTGTCTTTTAATTTATTCAGGTAATTTTATTCTTTCGTTTGCATTGTTGTTACGCCTTTTTTATTGATATTGTGAAATGAAATATTCTTTGTCTTAATCAGACCATATGTAACTGTGAGCTATTTTTAGACTGGATGTTGGTGGTATACGATTTTTTTCGTTATAAAACTGTTTAATACAAGTAACCACTGAGATCCAATTGGTGATATACATTTATTTCAATCTTTGTGATCTCTCAGACAATACATTACTAGCAGTTATTACCTGCGAAACATAAGGATCGAGCTTATGAATTTCAATCTCTTCTCAAAGAACATTAATCAATTAGTAGGTCAACATTAAGAACGTATAAAACTAATCCGTATTTAGCTAGTTTTAACGCAATACCTCATCTGTTTGACAAATAACACCATTTAAGCCATTAGTTGAGACAAGATTTGAGAATCATACATTTCTTTTGCCCGGAAAATTAGTACAACCTCTCGCTATAAATTAACAAAATAAATTGGAAAGATAACTAAATATTTTCTTCTAGTCTTCACTTGTGTTCAGTTAATGTATAGATCTTCACTAGATGAATACCAACAACAGAAACACGCTGAATGGATTCAAAATAGTTCCGACCAATTAATTCACAATATAATATATTGTAAAAAATTGTGATGACTACCTTGAAATTATTTAAGGAGCTTCAAACTTTACTCATTAATTTATGTTGTTAGAAGAACTTCATTACATTATGCTAATCATTCGTATAATGATCATCGTAATATTAAATGACTTAATAGTTTCAACTTACCTATAAGAGTATTTTGAATAATCATCTTTTAATGTTTCAGTATTTTCAATGAACTCCGTTTTTATATTCTTGGCAGTAAGATATGCCTGAAACAAGAAGAGGTATTTAAATAAGAATAAATTAAATGTTCGACGTAAATCAAATTCTCTTTCAATTAAAACAAAGTGTTACCATTTACTAGGTCACATACTGATAACATGCCTGTAATTCTGAAAGCAGCATTGATAAATTTAACAATATTCATCAGATAATATGCTGTTTAAACATGGAAAAAAATGCAACAAGATCACGATTTTAGATGGAATACCTGAAAAAGAACACAGGCCAACATTTGTTCCTTTGTACTATAAATGACATTCTGTTAATCGTTTTTCATTTGGATGATACTGGGGTTAGCCAGTGACTCGAATGCTATGTAGGATGTTTAAATTTAATGGAAGTATACAATGAAACCTATGAAAATTATACGATTCTAAATTAGCTAGCGTTCTAAAATAACGATAGATATCAATGCAATAGTATTGTTACTTCAGTTAGTTTTCAAAATGATACTAATGTATAGAAATAGTATTTAATTTCATATCATCCTCACTAATTGTTGTCTACTCACATGAAAGCAATTAAAATCAATTGCTTAGTTGTAATACCTTTTCTATTCCCAGGTTTATCAGTTTATATGAAACCAACAGTTACATCGAGTGTTGAACAAGATCAGTTAATGATTACATCCTGTTTAGAACGATGGGCGGAACACTTTAAGGAGCATTTTAGCTGGCCTTCAGCTACTGCACAACTACCCACTATTCCTAGAAAACCTGAATGGAACATTGAAGTAGGCCCCCCGACCCTACTTGAAGTTCAAAAAACTATAGGTAATCTGAAACGAGGAAGAGCAGCTGGTCCAGATGGATTGGCTCCAGAGGTCTTTAAATATGGTGGTCCGATTTTAGCGATTAGGTTGACTAATATTCTGGCTAAAATCTGGGAGACGGATGTAATCCCATTCGACTGGTCACAATCACTGATTGTCCCAATATATAAAAAGGGGTCAAAATCATCCTGCGATAACCATAGAGGGATTAGTCTCACTAACATAGCATCTAAAATACTAGCCTCAATAACTATCGGGCGCCTAACTAAGACTCGTGAACTGCAAACACGAGAAAATCAGACTGGCTTCAGACCTGGTCGTGGCTGTATCGACCACATATTCACCATTCGTCAAGTTTTAGAGCACAGACACGCTTATCGGCGTCCGACAATGATAGTTTTTCTTGACTTGAAAGCAGCATTTGACTCTGTAGACCGAGAGGTTCTGTGGCAGTGTCTGTCATTGAAAGGTGTACCTGAGAAGTACATAAACCTTGTGAAGGCTCTTTACTCGAACACTACCAGCCGAGTCAGAGCTTATGGCGAACTGTCATATGATTTTACAACCTCAAGTGGTGTCCGTCAAGGCTGTCCACTATCCCCATTTTTGTTTAACTTCATTATAGACCTGTTGCTGGAAATAACACTCTCTTCGACTGAATTTACAGGAATTGATCTCCTACCAGGGGGACCACTAAGCGACTTAGAATACGCATATGACATAGTCCTGTTTGGTGAAGACGCTGGCAAAATGCAGAGTCTTCTGTTGGAACTCAGTAATAATGCCAGGATGTTTGGGATGCGTTTCTCCCCATCCAAATGTAAATTGTTACTCCAGGACTGGCCTGCGTCAACACTCGAACTAAGGATAGGGAGTGAAGTAGTCGAACGCGTCGACAACTTCACTTATCTTGGAAGTCTGATCAGCCCTAATGGGTTGGTGTCAGACGAAATCTCAGCACGGATTCAAAAAGCTCGTTTGGCTTTTGCCAACTTACGTCACCTATGGCGTAGACGAGATATCCGTCTATCAATTAAGGGACGAGTATACTGCGCATCAGTTCGCTCTGTTCTACTTTACGGCTGTGAAACATGGCCATTAAGAGTAGAAAATACTCGTAGGCTACTAGTATTTAACCACAGATGCCTTAGAAATATTGCTCGCATCTGCTGGGATCACCGGGTAAGTAATAGTGAGGTTAGACGCAGGGTATTAGGGAACGATGGTAAATCAGTTGATGAGGTTGTGAATCTTCATCGACTGAGATGGTTGGGCCATGTGTTACGTATGCCTGAACACCGATTACCACGACGCGCTATGATGACTAGTGTAGGGGATTGTTGGAAGAGAGTTAGGGGCGGCCAAACCAAAACATGGCATCAGTGTTTGAAGTCACTAACTTCTAGTCTGAGCCATGTTGGCAGATGCAGACTACCTGTTTGGGGTCCGCGTGACTATCGTAACCAATGGTTGGAGACTCTCGGTGACATGGCTCAGAATCGATCACAATGGCGTAAGTGTATACACTCTTTATCTTCCTTTAAACCTTGAGACTAAAATTGCTTCATCTCTCCTCCTTCCTGTACCATATCCTTATATACAACCTATAATTTATACACTACTACCACCACTAAATTAATTACTTCTATGAACCCGGTGTTCATCTTGTTGTGCTAACGAGGTATGGCAACTTGGACCGATGCATAAATGTGCCTGGTCCTACGTTGTAGCTGACTGACTGTTTAGGTATCGCATTTTTATGATTTGGAAAAAAGGGATCGAAATTTCTCTCTACTTTATTTATCCATAAATTTATTCCAAGTAATGAAGCATATGACAAAGTCTTTGGAATTATTTAGTTAGTATCTTAACAGGATTAGTTTTACCAACTGGAATTACATTGTTATAATACAATTACATGTGTTTCACAACATTTTACTTTCACAAATCATAAAGATGCTGGGACGTATGAATACAAGATTAAATCAACTAACTGTTATTGGCTTTCATCTCATTTAGGATCCTAAATATACATCCATTACAAAGCAGCTTTAAACTAAAACAAAATAGCTGTTCATTATTATCTGGTTAGCACATATATGCTTAGTTGTGATCCCTTTATAATGAAAATTAATCTCGAAATGAACAAACTCCGTATTCTAACACTGGAATTTTTTTTCTATGTAGTCAATCGCCTGACTTCTTAAATCCGAATGCTTTTACTTGGAATTTTCATCTATTCTGTGAATCTCTATTTCAAGAAATTACAGTTATTTAATTAATCTTATATGACAGGCTAGACAGAAAATAAACCATATATACCACAGAATTTCTAAGTATTATTATTATTTAGTATTAACTTTTACGGTTATTTACGAGAAAACAATGAAAATTGGTAAGAATAATGATCAAGTTTTCTGAAATACATATTATACTGTAATACATTCTGTGTGCTTAAGATAGATACATACACATTAAAGATGTAAATATATCAGTTTCTTTCCTTCTATATTATTAATTCTGGTTCATTTACATGTTCCAATTTTCGGACACCATTTTAGTACTAAGAATATATTGGATTGTGTCCGAAAGCTAATACTCTAGTAATAAAAACAGCATAAATATACACATGTCTTAGCTGATTTATGACACTTACTTGCGTAAAGGTAAAAAGAATATATTGGTACGGTAAAATCACTTATTATTAGATAGATAGAATGTATTACAAAGATTGAAATGGAGTAGAATAGCTGATACGTGTTTCATATTATACTTCGTATTGGATAATGTAATGTATATTCATTATTTGGTTAAAAACTCATAACAATGTTTGGCGAAATTCTAAAGAGCGACGGTCTGTTTTTTTATATAGAACTGATTTACCAGCTAATTAGGTTTTTTATATCGAAAAATGGGTATTCAAACAAGACCAGAAGCTGGCAGCTCTTTTGATTAGATACTATTTAACAAAAATAACAAAACATTCCCGAATTACAAAAGTTATATTTTCTGACGTGCAACGATTACATAACTCACGAAGTAAACTTAGTCGGTGTAAACAGTGTACGGTTCTTGTACCTGTTTGATGAGGGTGTACTCTATGAGCTGCATGATTTGAGTGTGAAGTTTTCATTATTGTTCTGAATAAAGTCATCAGCTTCTCGCAATCAAACCATCCACATCGTGAAATGTTACGCTACAAAATCATGTCTTGGGCTGTAAGTAGTTTTCATTATTATTTTAAAGTCCTACTTTTTTAGACTAATCTTTCTGCAATGAACCTATCTGAAAGTTAACCAAAACAAGTCACTTGTTAAACAGCCTGATAATTAAACACCTAGAATTTTATCTTACATGTTATCTCTATGACTGTTTCTTTCACAGCTTAATAGTCAATGAATAGACTTATTCACTTATTAAATAGAAGGCTAAATTAACACGAAAACAAAGCTATATGGATTGATATGAATATTCGTCAAATTTTTAAAAAAAACAATATAACGAAATTCGGGCACCAGGAATGCAGAAAAGATTATATTTGACACAATCTCAATAACTTAAGTTAAAATAGTTCCAGCGTTTCATCCAGCAAACTAATCCGAGCTTTCATAGTCAATACCGTTAACTTCCTTTTCAATCAATTTTGAAGTTTCATTTCGGGAACGAATGATCTAATTTTTAATCACTTACATTAGTGAAATTGTAATTACATATTTATCATTGTTACCACCCATTAAATCCTCAATATTTTATCATATGACAGAATTGTACACTCACGATAAATATAAGGCCGAATCCAAGATATTTTTATTTTGCAATGGTCACAATATCTTTAGACTGGCGAGTCGGAATTCAGTGGTCCTGGTTTACGACTTCTGATGATTTGAAGTGTAGGGTCGCCATAGTTCAGTGGAGTCACTGATAACTGTTTTAATCTCTATATGGTTTGTTTCAAATGTGACAGATACTCACTAGAATGTCGAGAATACTTTTAAAAGCCTATATGTTATGATGATTGTTATTCAAATGGGTGGTTCGTGAAAAATTGTTCATTTTGGAACGAGCTAATCCTCCCTGGTTATCAATGATTCTCAAACTGAACTAATTCAATGATAAAAAATGTCTGAACAAACCAGCTATCTATAAATAGATGACAAATAAATTTAATTTGAATTTCATGAATATAAGTAATCTACTCTGCAGTTGTTAATTATGTCAGTCTGTTAAAGAGATAGCCGTGTTAGCAGTTAATAAACAATCAAAATTTAATTAATTGATCTAACTGAATGCCTATACAAATATGTTTGTATTAATGAACCTACTTTATTTTCAGATTTATCTTTTACTATACTCATTTCTTCTAATTGATGACGAAGTACACCACGTTCATGTAACATAAAAGATAAACGACGCTGTAATAAATCTAGCTGACAGTTTCTTTCAGATAATTGTAATAATAAATCCTCGACTGACGTTTCTGTATTTTCAATCTAGAAAACAAAAAGTAGTTTGTGAAAATAGTTGATATTACTTGTATATAGTTCTTTTTTAAAATCAAAATAATTTTACAATTATAGCGTTTCAAACTGGAAGAAATTTAATGGTCTGACATTTAAGTATCTTTCATCATCATCATTATCATCATCATCATCATCATCATCATCATCATCATCATCATCATCATCATCATCATCATCATCATCATCATCATCATCATCATCATCTACTGAAACGGCGGTCCAGTGTTTATTGAACAAGATTCAAGTTATCATCTTCGTCGAATGAATATAATTAACAAAATGTTTTATAAGAAAGAGTTTCTGTAAAAATTAGTCTATCACGTTGGTTAATTAGAACACAAAATGAACACACTAATGTTCAGATAAAAGCTCAAATGTATTATTGAGGTACAAAAATTAACCAATATGAAAAGTAACGGAAACATTGAATAACCAATGAATACAAGTTGCTCCTTTAGCAATAAAGAAATTTCATTAAAAATTCAAAAACGTTAAAATACTGTATTTTCTTTGTAAGTACGGAGAATTAGTTTTTATCAAATTCGCATGAGTTTGCACAAGCAATCTAACCGTTCACTTAAATTTAGCTAATCCAACTCATGAATAAACTCTTCAATTAGATTCTTATTCATGCAGTGAGTAAACAAGAACTTCTACAATCTTATTTCTATTCGAGACACTTTTTATCGCTCTTAATAACAACTAGAGTTTCATACTACAGTGACTTGTAATAGGTCAAAAAAACAATTGTAATAAATTGCTGATTCATCAAATACTTAACTTTCCATAATGTACAGAATTTTTTTTTGAAATCATGATTCTCCGCTTCGATAACAAAAGAGTTCATAAGTGACCATCAGTTAGTAGGGATACTGTTCACTTCTACACAATTTACAACTATTTTTGTAGTTATGAGCTAAGATGGATGATGGCTAGCGGCAGAATCAGAGACACGCGTTTCGTCCTATTTGGGACTCGTCAGCCGGATGTACTTGCATCCCACAATTGATATTCACTCCGGAACTCAATCCCAGTACCATTCGCTTCAAACGCCATTGCGTTATCTACTTAGATACTAAGTTTTGACAGACACTTGCTTGTGCAATAGGTTGAAGTTTACGTTCATTTGGTAATGTTTGCTTGAATGTTCCGATTGATGTTTAGGACTGTAATTGATCAGTCTTTTATTGGCATTTTTTTGAAAATATGAAAAGGGAAGAATTTCAAATTTCTACTACCAAGTTTAGTTCATAATGATAACAGATAACCAATTATTTCTGCTATGAAAATGAGGAAATGTGTGAAATTTTCCACCATTTAAATTTAATATAAGATTTATATTATTAACCAATAATAATAAAATTAAGTATGATTAAATCTGTTTTTTTATCGTTTTACCATGCATCATGCAGGAAAGTTAAAGGAGAACTGCAAGACTTATCATAAAAAATACGTTGTACAAGCTGTAAACAACCTGGTATATGTGTGAAAAAATACCTCATATTAATCAGCGCAAGTTGTTAACATTAAATTTGCTTTATTCAGAAATTTTTATGGCTGAATAAACTAAGCAAATTAAGCATCAACTAATCTAATTCATCAGCTGAGTGTAAACGTTTTACCGAACTCCAAGTCTAAATATTAGTGTGATCATGAGATTATTACCTTATTAATTCGACAATAAAAGCTAAGCTTGCTTGGAGAACCGATGGACAACATCTAGCTCATAAATCTTTAACAGTGCACATTCTATGTAAATCAAAAACAATGTTCAGCAGTCCTTTTGGCTCTGAATCATTCCACTAACAATTTATAGTTAGAATTTACATTATTTAAATAATTTCATGCTCCACGAGAAAAACACCTTTTTTCAACAACCACAACATGAAACAAAATCTTAAGAAATATTACTAACATTTTGTTTGCATGTACCACACTCAATGTTTTCATTTGATCCTAAAATGAATAGAATTAAACAAAAAAGGAAAATTGGAAACATTTAAGATACAAATCAATAAACAATATGGATGAGACATTTCGAAATTACGTGTAATATGTTATGCTGTTATATATATATATATATATAAGAAAAAGAGAATTCAGCGAAGAAAATTTTCTTTTCGACGAAATCATTTACTTAAGCTGTACATTCGTATATATAGTAATATGGAAAATATATATGTCTACAGGAGGCTAGAAAAGATTGCATTACAAAATTGATTCGACAATAAATAACAAATGAGGTGACGTACTAATCAAGGGGTAAGGAAGAAAATAATTTATGGGTCAGATAATAGTTCAATTAACAGATATGAAGAAGAGCGACAAACACAAAGGTCATAATAATAATAATCTGAGTAATAATCAAGAAAACTTGTATAAGGTAATAATAATAATAACGGATTAGAGATTAAATGTAAAGTAGTAATTTAAAAAACAAAAAACCGATAATAATCAGATAAAAGTACAAAAAACAAAAAACCAAAAAACGTACCCAATGAGGGAATTAGGGCCAAGGAAGGGTAAGAGGTTGGACAAATCGTTTCTGCACGCAAAGTTCAGGCTTCAATTCATGGATTGCCAATGCCTCAGCAGTGCATAAAATATTGATTCGACCTCCCTTTGATCCGGCTCCTTTAACTCTATAGATTATTTTAAAAGACGTCTCTTTTGGAGGAATGTGTCCGCAATTGATCAAGTGCTCTTGTATCGAACTGGTTATCTTCTTACACTCACCTTTTAGGAGCCAAGCTGGATGGTGTTCAGAGATACGTTTGGAAAGCGATCGCTTTGTGCGGCCTATATAACGTGCTCCACATGAGCAAGTAAATTTATAAATACACATCGATGTGGCCCAAAGCGAAAGCTTATCCTTAACACACCCCCGAATGGTAGGCCGGCTAGAGAAAACGATTTGGAGCTTGGCTGTGTAGAAAGTTTTATTCAACGTTTTTGAAATCCGTTTATTCAGGATTTCAGCAGCCGTGTCTCCCTTGAATTCCATATTCATAAACAAGGTTTTCTTCTGTACCGTCAAAGTTATTACTCAGATTATTATTATTATGACCTTTGTGTTTGTCGCTCTTCTTCATATCTGTTAATTGAACTATTATCTGACCCATAAATTATTTTCTTCCTTACCCCTTGATTAGTACGTCATCTCATTTGTTATTTATTGTCGAATCCATTTATAATGCAATCTTTTCTAGCCTCCTATAGACATATATTTTCCATATTACTATATATACGAATGTACAGCTTAAGTAAATGATTTCGTCGAAAAGAAAATTTTCTTCGCTGAATTCTCTTTTTCTTATTCAATGACATTATGAGTTATTTTAGTTATATATATATATATATATATATATATATATATATAGATTGATTGAGGGTACTCGGATGGTAATCTGACTCCGAAAACTTACTGCACTCAACATCGAGTCACTGAAACTAAGAAAAACAAAATTGTAACTTGATCAGTTCTAATTTGATTAACACTAAAATGGGTGAATGGATATGATATCAGTCATTACGTAATCATAAGTATATATATATATATATATATATATATATATATATATATATATATATATATATATATATAATGTGATAATACACACATATCGATATAAAACTTTTTAAATCCCCAAAAGCATATCCACAAACGATCACTGAGACTTATTGAACAAACTTCCATAATTATTTTATATCAATAACCATTATAATCAACAGTGAATAAACTGATTATTTTGTACTAACTAGGACAACCTATTTTAATTAACTGAAATGGGTAAATTCTAGTCAACAATTGAGTATTTCGATATTTCCTTTTCTAATCAATCCTACATATGTATTTGGTGATAAATGTTAATCTTGTGAACCGTCATTGTTGCAGTCAGTTTAATCACCTTCGAAAATTGAACGTATTTCTACTGAAAGAATAAACATTATATATACGATGTTTTAACAGTCTATTGATTATGGATGATATAAGTGTTTTTAAGGCAGACTAAGAAATTTATAAGCATTTATCACATCTTCCAGTTGTTTAAAATCGAGAATGCAATCGATCAGTTGTTGACATTTGAAATTATAACTAGATAGTGTGACTTTCATTATGAAAACTAGCAGTGGGTTTAGGGTACATCTAGTTAACTAATCGCAAATGAGATACCATTGTTAGCTACGATTTAAATGCAATGTAGGAGATAAAAATCCCGTAACACTGATGCATATATCAATAATTCAAGTTAAGTTATTAGGATCGATTTCATTTCGAGTCGATATCAGAAATACAACGATTAAAAACCAATAACTTTGTTATTTTTAGGAGACATTAATAATACAGACCAAAAAAACAATAGCCGTTTTCTTCATTAAAATAAGAATCTGGAAAATATTGACCTCCGAACTACAACAGTGCTCACACTCATTTCGTTAACTTAAAAAATAAACAAGAATAACCTGGGATCATTTCCTCACTTCATTTGATTCTCATCAGATGCATATAAGCGGTAATACGTTAAAATCAGGACGTTAGGTAAATTTCAACCTAATTATAAGGATTGGGCTGATGAAACGTTGTTAACATGAATATACATCAATATGCTGTAGTAAAAGACCCTAATAAAATCGAATTATTTAGTTAAAATATAGCAAATAAATATCATATTTAAAACAACGTTCTGAAACATCAACGAGGATAATGCCGAAAGACTATAGTCCTGAGATTTTAAATGGTTGCATAACGAAATAATCTTGGTGATCCATAATTGTTGTTATCTAAAATAACATGGGTTTTAACCGAAGTCAAGTAAAATATTCTCACAAATAACCAAAAGATTCTATAAAGTAATAAAATGTTTAAGTACAGCTGGTCATTCAATTTCACTTGCCTAACAGTTTTCCAACCAATACCAAATTTCAATAGTTGAGATCATGAGTCAATTGAAGTTAGACCACCATGGAAAACCTGAAAAAATTAGACGGCCATTTCGTCCTATTGTGAGATACCTCAGCAGTGCGCATCCACGATCTCACCTCGCGAGATTCGAACCCAGGACCTATCAGTCTCGCACGCGAGCACTTAACCTCTAGACCACTGAGCCGGCATCCAACGGTGTTAAACAATCGATGACATTCTTCAACACAAAAGTAGTTGAATCAAACAGTATTCTAAAATCTTATTTGACAGAAAACAAAGTGCATTTGTATCTCTATCTGAATGAAAATATATGCTGGGAAAGTAGTAGAGAAAACTGGTTTTCTACATAAATAAATCCTATGAAGGTCATTAGTGGTACAGACAGTTAGGTAATATATGTTACTGACGTTTTTACACCATACACAGTATGACCGAAAATCATAATTAGGATCGATTAAACTACTATCCACCAATCTAATATTGTGACATAAAACAGAAAGTATTTTTCTTTATCAAATATCAGATAAGTAACAAATAATTCGATAGTAAATAGTAAATCACAATTATTCATGTTAGAATGTGCATAAAATAGACGAAAAGTTTTATTAGTTGAATAAAAATATCTTAAATACTTTATTATTTCTTCATTCCAGTTAAATATTGCTACTTTGAACAGATTTACAAAATATTCAGTCAGTCAGTCAGCTACAACGTAGAACCAGGCATATTTATGCATCGGTCCAAGTTGCCATACCTCATTAGCACAACAAGATCAACACCGGATTCATAGAAGTAGTTAATTTAGTGGCGGTAGTATATAAAAGATAGGTTGTATGTAAGGATATGGTATAGGAAGGAAGAAAGTTATGAAGCAATTTTAGTCTCAAGGTTTAAAGGAAGATAAAGAGTGTATACACCTACGCCATTGTGATCGATTCTGAGCCATGTCACCGAGAGTCTCCAACCATTGGTTACGATAGTCACGCGGACTCCAACCAAGTAGTCTGCATCTGCCAACATGGCTCAGACTAGAAGTTAGTGACTTCAAGCACTGATGTCTAGCTTCAATTATACATCAACTGTGGCCACGAATATGAATAGAACATCCTTCACTAGGTTGTTAATTTATTAATGATCAAAAAAATCCCAATGTTGTACCGGGAAAACTATCAACAAAACATAAGTTCAATTGATTTTTAATAATATCTATTAAGCACAGTGTAAAAAATAAGTTGAAAAAAATAGAGCCCTGTCTAAGGATCCATTTAGTCGTTGATTGATATTACTACTGAAAAGTGGCTATTCTATCAGCTTACGTAGTATGATGTATCGGTTTCTCGTCCGAACATAAGCTGATTCAATGAGACAACTTTAAAGTATTTTGACTTGCGAAAGCTTGAAAGAACAAAATAATCAATAAATCGACCATTGATGAAACCATGAGTTTGCTTTTTTGTACAACAATCGCAGACAGTAATCTAGATTATTTAATTCAACTCCTCTTCTGTGGGACTACCTCAGATGTAGAAACATTTAAAACTAAGAAGCACTAGAGAGTTGTTTCATCTTAGTATGAGATTCATCGGCATCCTGTACCTATAACTACATTTTGGTTAGAAGCCAAGGCATGCACGTCTTGTGGTGAACATAGTATATTTGGGGTGTTGAGTAGCAAATTGAATGAACCGTTTCCAAAGTTAAAGAATTTGTGAAATAACACGACTGTTATCCAGTCCCACTACTTATGCCTGATTAATTTTCAATAAGGTTGAATAAACGAGATCAAGCCTTTTCTTTGGAATCAAGTAAATTTGTTTAGAAGTTAGTCATAAGTTAACACATTACCTGGTTGCATACATAAGCTCAACTTTGAAACTGTGTTACCCATTAAATGATGTCAGACAATGAATCAAGAGAACTGCAAAACTGCCAAATCCTAGTTTGAAACTTTAAGCAGTATGTATTCATCACCTGAATCTTCAAATCTGGTGGTGAGTACGTTATCCCTGAAACCACCAAATGTCAAAACAAAATGTCGATATTTTCAATTAAAAAGAAATCGTGACATCATTGCTAGCCTCTTAGTATCAACTACCAAATAAGACTAGTCGCTTATAGAAGCATGCATTGTGTTAGTATCTGTGATACTGTAGCATCATGGACAATGACAGAGCCTTTGTATTATTACTGATCATGCTTCGACACATTACCGTTCAATGCTTATTTTCTATTGTTTACCTTGTGTTCCATAATTATTTGCACAAGAAATTGGATCAGTACGCCCATCATGTTGATTATCTCGAATACACCATAAATTAGAAATTTCTTTCTTTAAAAGATCATTTTCTTGCGAAAGTAGAAAATTCTTATGTGATAAAATTTTACACTTTGACCAATGTTTAGTATTCAATTCAAACAGATGACGAATCTGTCGAAAATGAAAAAAAGAAACCAAAAACATTTTATTCCGATGTGTATATTCAGTCGAATAAAAATAGATCCATAATCTGTATGAAATACTCAATTTGTCACTCACTAACTTTTTCCATTTTGCCTACCCTCTTCTCTCTTTTAATCTTCTACATTCTTCTCGTTTTTTAAATCAAAATTCAACTCGTCAGGCAAAGTACCATTGTCATTTTATAATCAATTGTCTTAAGTGAAATCTATTTGCAATTGTAACTATTGATGCTAACTACTAACTAATCATAATGGTACCACGTTATTTGTCGTGGATGATTTAATTATGAAGCCTACTGGGCAAGATTGTTAATTATTATTATAAGCAGAAGTGCTAAATCATTCTTATCTGAAGTTTACATTCAGAGACTTTTGTTATCTTCATATGCGTTTTGAGAAACTAATCTTTGACCATTTAAATAAAAGATATTTATTTTACGGTGAATATATTGGCTGTATCTCAAGACACACCTATTAACTGACTCCAACTAGTTAATTCAGTTTGAAATAGTCAGTGACTGAATAATAATCTAGAACGACAGTGAGAGTTCAACTTAGTATTGTTTGTTTGAATAACGCGGATAACGCGATGGCGTTTGAAGCGAGGGTACTGAGTTCGAGTCTCAGAGTGAACATCAACTCTGAGATGCAGGTACATCCAGCTGACGAGTCCCAAATAGGACGAAACGCGCGTCCTGGATTCCACTGCTAGCCACTATTCATCTCTGCAGACAGTGAGAGTTGTTGCCAAAAAATCCAGATCACAAAATACATGACTAATAAAAGTATACACTCGAGTTACAAATTTTCTTCGATTTCCTCAGCTAACCTGTTCCCTACTATAATCCACCGTAAGTAGTGTAGTGAACGAATACCTAGTGGTGATAATCAAATTATTGTTTTAAGCAAAATACAGAGAGCCTTGTTAAAAAATGTAAACTATAGACCAAATACAATATTTGCACATCTTCCTTCAGTTGTCTTTTACATGCTTCATAACTTTCAATTCCGTTGTTATTACAACTACTCTCTGTTTATATTCTTGTTCCCTTCAATTCTACCCTATTAATTTCCTGCTTCCAGGCGTTTAACTTCTGATCGATGTTACATACTATATACATCTGTCAACAAAGGTAGCATACACCACAGAAGTATACAACTCACAAAAATCTTTGAAACAATACTGATCACTTGTTGTCACAATGTACCTTTGATCGTCAGTTAATCAACTTTCTCATTTTGGAGTGTGAATTTATTTAATTCCTGAACAAATACATAACTGTCAAGTTTTTTTTGACTGACAGTCACTTATTCAAGAAAACAGAATATGATAACACTAAAATAATTTTCATAGATGTTAGTCTTATCGCAATCTACACAAACACAACATCAATAAGTAGTAGACACACAAAACGTTATCAGATTATCATTTTGGTGGAATGAAATGTAAAGCATGGTCCATATCGCTGGTACGAGAGACATAACTAGAGCCCCATTAGCTGCCTATGATCTTCATTTACCTTCTATCAAACAACTAATTTGTAATGACATTTAGATAAGTATTTTTTGCGTGAATAATAATTTTGATTCTTTCATCTAACTAAAGAGTGTATTGAGTAAAATCAGTTGGGTTGAGACTTTAGCATCTGTTCCGTGAGAAAATCATCAGTTCAACTACTTTGTTGTATCGATTATCTCGTCATAATAAAACTCCCGACAATAGTTAGCTACTGATTGTCTTGAAATAAGAAAATTTACAAACATTATTATATCTGATGAAAAATCCTCATCAATCATAAAAATAAAAGAATATTATCATTAAACGGTTGAAGGTCATTTTGAAAGAAAGTTGAAAAGCTTTAAATTTGATGAGCTTAAATTCTATTTTTTTTAAAATGAAATTATAAAAATATACTTAGAAAAGTGTACAGAAGTGGAAAATCACCACTCTACATTTGGTCTACGTTTTGACACCTAAAATACTGAACTTATCTGTTTTTTAAAATAATTTTTGTCTCAGAGTGAAATCAGCTGGTGAATTGGTGAAGAATCAATGAGGACTGAAGAGTTGTCTCATTATAATGTGTAAAACTGTAGAAGTGCAAACCTGCCAGCTCATACAAATAAGACTGATTTTAAATGCTCATAAGTGAGTAGTTCGAAGTCAGAACAAAAAGTAGCTGTCTAATATTCCCATAATCTTCAACGGTTCTTTTGCTAATGTAAGTCCGTGAAGCAACCTACCCTTGAGATTGACTGGTCACTATAAATCATCTAAATAAACAGTTTTTGAACAAATGATTTAAGCAATTACTCTGTAAAATAGTGGAATTTAAAAATATATCAGAGAAAACCTAACTCTTTAATCAATATGCTTAACACTGACACATTATTACACTACTATGGCTATAATAACATTAAAACCGTACTGATCATAAAGTTATTTGCCGTTAATAACGCTAGACTATACATGACACAATCGTTCCATTCTAGTGAGGCGTAGTATAAACAAACTCAAGTCAAATAATGAGCTCGTTCACAAAATCACTATTAAGGAACATTGTTTGAATGTCTGATGACACAGCTTAATAAATCAGTTGAAAGACAACGAATACTAATCTTTGATAAGATTATTTTGCGAATTATGACAACCTTCTAATTATCAGCTGTATGTATTAAATCTCTTGTTACATGTTACGAAAGTTATATGTAAAGCGATCAGTAAGAAAATTTGACAATATACTGGATGAATAAAATAGCTAGATCATGTCTGTGTAACTCTTATTTTCATCAGTCAAAGTGATAGTCAATAAAATTTATCTGAATAACATCGTCCCCATTAATATATGTTAAATTATTATACGTCTAGTACCTATTGACTAAAAGATTTGTACCTATTTATGTCAGTCAAAGAAAAATCTATATTTATAAGCATCGGAAACTAATGCATCACACCCTCAGATATATTCTTACTCACATGGGGGCAATTTTTAGAATTCAGCACCCTGTCCTACTATCACTTATTCGCTTAAATATACTGTTTTTAGCTTAAAAACAACTTAAATGTATACGAAACAACCTGTCTTTTTTCTACGAAGCAAAACACGACAAAATCCATGCTGATTTAAACAAGCACTATTCCTTCTCTGTTTCTTTATCCTGATTTGCCCTAATACTTATGCGTATACATGTGCATGTATGCGTACATCACAATTTTGTGTCCTGTTTATTTACCAAACATAGATGTAACATTTTTACCATCCCTTTTTTCAAACATTGACTTTAAAAGATTATTTTAATACTGACAAAAATTTAATTAGAACAACACATAAAAGCAGACAATACTATTTTCGTTTAAATGATCATCAGGCTTTACTTTGGCATGAACAATATGCGTATTATTCTTCACACTTAGAACTTCTGCATAAACCAGTTGTTAATAGAAGCTTCTAAGATGTCTTTAACTTCATTTCCAAAGCGGGAGACGCAAATGTTCTTAGAAAACTTATGGTTTCGTTAGATATCGTACCTTTATTCACCAGGGTTTCACAAGTCTAGATTATTGATTTTAAATACAAACAAATACCAGAAAAACAAGTTTAACATTGACTTTCATGCGCATAGCCTTGAAAAACTACTTTTCAGGCATATGGCGAACGCCTATTTTGTCTTTGACAAAATTTACTATAGACAATTTAATAGAACTGCTGCAGGCTCATCTTTGAACCCAATATCAGTTTCTTTCTAGCCAAACTAGAGAATGGACCTCTAGAGGAAGTGAAAGAAAATTTTGATTTATACTGATATTATATCAACTATACATTTACTATCCTCTATGTAAATATCAATAGAGAATGTTTGAGCCGATTCAAAAATGTAGATTCGGAGATCACATTTACATATGAGGAAGAATTTGACAATCCATTTCATTTTCTCGACGTCTTATTAAGTCGATGACATGACATTTCAGCCAGAAGCGCGTATAGAAAGAGATCCTCTGTGTTTCAACGCACACACTTTACTAACCTTACACTCACTCTTTATGAAAGATAGCTAGATGACTTACAAGCAAAACAAAAATAATCTGCTCGGACGACACCGCAAAGGAGTTAGAGTTCATCAACGATATGTTTGTCAAAATACATCACCCTTAGATCCTTTCGTAGAAGCACATGAGTACGGTGAATAAGAAGTTTGATATATCAATAGATTAAAAGAAATTCTTCTCCCTAACAATACAATTCTACTTGGATGTAGATAACGATATCCTAGATAGTAGACTATTGAGAGTGGTATATCCAGTTAATGTTTGTCGTTTTCCAGTCGAACACTGATATTCATTCAAACAAGGGACAGATTTTCTGATTTCACTTCTCTGATATGCATCAACAAGTTCATGTGCTACTGTGAAGAACATTATATTGGACATGACACTAATAAACTTAACCAAATAGTTAGTGAACATCGCTCTGCATGGTTTAAAAATGGTCAAAGAAAGGCGATACGTAGCTTTATTTTATCGACAGTCGTCATGTGGTAGATAAAACTAAATGATTTCAAGTGATCAGCTTCTCAATGGAATTTGATCTCGTCTCCAACAAATTCCAGAAGCTGTGGGGATTCGAATTAACAATCCCAGTCTGTTTACTCAGAAGAAGTCTGTCTCTTCCTTAGTTAGATAAAACAGTAAACAGTCTAACTAGTTTCTTCATATTATTTGCTTTTCTTCATCGACCTTTCGCATATCTTTTTCACTATCTGATTAACTGAATACTTACTACTCCAGTTTGATAATTCTCATTTTTTCCAAGCATTGTCTCAAGTTTAGACCTAGTTTACATTCTCAAAAATGTGTTTAAAGTTTTATTATTTCTCTTGTTCTCATCACTACTAGTACACTTGTTTTCTTGCTAACAATTTATGATGAGATTATAATTTATGGACGACCTTGGAGCGATGCTCAAGTGACCTCGGGAATGTCCATCTACTCACTAGGGCTAAATGTGAGTTACAAATCAGTATGAGAAATCAAGACTATGATCTACAGTTGATGGTTAAGGTTGGGAATAATATTAAGGGTTTTCATCAAAAAATGACACCAGCTACAATGTCAAGACTCTAGCAAGCCAAATGGACGAATAAATGTCGTGGCAAAATCCAAGATATTTTATGCTAAACCTGATTGGTTCGTCCATAAATTATAGTCTCGCCGATATTACGGTTTATTCAAGTAAAGCCTAATGAGGACCTAACTTGTAACAATGTTGTTCACTTGTGCTTTATTTTAATTTAAAAACTTTTTTCCTTAGCCTTATTTGATCATTTCGAATATCTAATACTTTATATGTATGTAACGAAGACGACTCATCTTTCTGATGTTAATATTTTAAGAAGAATATGATCAGTGACTATTTTGGCATATGAACGTCTTGAAAGAATACTTCAATACTACTGCTCAAACTTTTCTACACTTTTAAAAAGTTATTCACCTTTTTAACCAAAATAAAATGTTTCTTTAAAGAAACAGGCTTTAAAATGTTCCCATTGGTCCCTGTAAAATATCTGTGCCCAAACGGTCTAACATGAAATTTATTTTATTAGGTAGTTAATTGATTTCGTATCAACTTCTCACAATCTTTCATAGTCAAATATCACAATAACCGGTGAAATTCGCCTCGATTTAATTTAATAGAAATAAATTTCATTTCTCATTAACATGAATAGTTATCAACTAAGTGCTTTTTGTTTCAGATTTATTGAAGAAGTATTAAGCACTAGTTTAAATCCATTATCATCAAAACATTTAGATTCCGATTCAATAGAAAGAAAAATGAACAGATTAATCAGAGATCATATTGATTTACCTCCTGTTCTAAATTCATACATTGATTCTTCCACCAACGGATTGTTGACGACAATTCCATCAATTGTGTTCTTGTGGGCTAAGGATTGAAATAGATACGCAAAAATACTTAGTAGTAGATAGATGATTATATTTCTTCAAAAAAAGGCTAATTTATTAAAAGAGTTTTCTTTAAAAACAAGGAAATTTCATTATCATGTTCAATAAGTTGGTTATCTGAATACGAAAGCAATACTCAAACTTTTTTATACCTTTTCGTAGAATTAGCATAAGCAAATAATTGAGTTACAGAGATTACTGTTTAACTTCTTATTAAAAAGATAAATAAATAAAAATCAAATGATAACAAAAGCATTTGACCAGAAAAAGTTTAAAGAAGTACCGGATAGTTGTGTTCAGATTATTCTACGACTACACAACAGTGTGCACCTATGACTCCATATAAAATTGAAATCTGAACTCTTTAATATTAGGGGTACATCTGCGTGTGATTTTAAATCCGAACTAAACAGAAATTTGTTATGGTCTTTTGTTTATGACAGTTTTACTAGTCCCTGATGAATATCAACTTTGTATAGAATAATCTTTATATTTTCCCCTCCAATCGTATCTAAAACAGTTTACACCAATCCATCCAGTATTATCTATCGGGGAATTTATTTTTGCATTATTTTTTTCAAATCCTGTGTGCTGATAATATCTGAGTTGTGTCTAGCAATTCATGCCATTTTTAGTTCTTTCAGTGGGTAGGTCTTGTATATTAATGTAAGATTTTTACTAAGGGTTTCATTTCACACGTATAGTGTCAACAGTAGTTGACTTTCCTAAGCTTATTAACATATATCGCAATCTAATTATATAAAGTGAAAAATAAGAACATTTTTCAGACTTAGGGCTTGGAATGAAATATTTAATGAAAACTACGTGTTAATTTTCTGCACTCACCCCGTGAATTAGGTGTACAATGGTCGCAACTGTTTGAAACAAGGCATTTATAAAACAATAAAAACATTACAGACAACCTCAGTTAAATATCTGTACTGATCATACTGAAAATAGCTGTGTTGTATGGAATGTCCTGTTGTATTCATAAAAAAAACATAAATCAAAGTCAAACTCAGTTTTATTAAGCTACTGTCCATGATAAACTCTAGTAAGTTAAATAAATCTCGTAAAATTAAGTTATTTAAACATAGTAAATAAAACTAACTGCAAAACTTGTTAGCAACAGTAAGAATGGTGTTAAAAAATTCATTATTTAAAATGAATTCCGTGGTTACCACTAAACTTAATCTCTAAGAAAAACGTTAAACAAAAAATAACTGAAACATTACACTAGTACAATCTGAAAGATTTTAAGCATAATTGTCAACTCAGTGATCATTCAACTTGGTTTTATTATTCAACTACATATTGGCATTTGTATTTTGCTTAGGTGACAGAACCTCAATGAACACCCATAAATCTGGTTGTGATTAATGAATCATGATCATCTTCACGATCTGATCTCAGTGAACAATGAAAAGTTTAGATCACCTAAGCACAATTACAATTAATTAGTTGTTGTAAATAATTCCATAGATATTACTGAGAAATCCCATTCATTCATGAAAGAGAGATGAATAATTGATAAACATATTATTTCGTTGAAATCATGAACTAATCAGTGTTAGACTACCATTCAAAACTTGGAAGCATTGGACGGCCTTTCCATCCTAGTATGGGGCTCCTCACCAGTGGGCATCTACGTCTCAGCATACAGGATTCGAACGCAGGGCCTTAGCTCACGAAACCGAAACGACCGTCCAGTGCTTCCAGGTTTTCAGTGGTAATCTAACATTGATCGGTTCATGATCTCAATGAAATTCAACATTCTCAACAACCCAAAACTGATAAATATATTACATATTCAAATTTAGAGATTATTCCAATCACGGACTAATATTATATTCGGGTCTGTTGAGAAACCTAGAATTTACGATCTTAAAACAATTTTGTTCCGTTTAAAACTATTCAACAGTAATCACTTAGAAGACTTCACAAAACTCAAAACCATATTAATATTCAGGTGACTAAGTCCAGGACAGAGTTGGTAGGAGATCCCCAGTCGACAACCGATACAAAGAGTAATAGGCATCAGTAAGTAAGCGACTAATACTGTTATGTCTAAGCCGTTATCGATTTCACTTGCCAGATTTGCTAACTCAAATCCTGGTTATAGTTTCTCTACCCCGATTATACTATATTGGCTGTTCCATAGTATCCAAAGCTTCGAATGTGGAGGGTTACCTTGAGTTGAGCAGAGAATAATCCTAACACCTGCTGGTCCAGTACATATTGCCTTCTTCTATCCAGGTGTTCAGTTCCATCATAGAACACAGAAGCACTAACAAAGTAGTATACATACTTCTATATTGAACACTAGCTTAAATACATAAATTATCGGAAATCAACGTACTCTAAATATGAAACCATACTTTACAACGATGCCATAAGTTGTAGAGAGTGATGCTAACGGTTAATAATTAATTTATAATAATTAAGAAATAATAAATCGTATAACAAAAGTCAATAGGTCTGCTGGTAGCTTACAATAGGGAGAGTATAGAAATGTAATAATAAACTTATCTTCTGACTATATGACTAAAATACAAATAATAATTCATAAATTAGTCTCAAGAGTTACAATTTCTTCGATATTCGCTTCACAACAATAAAGTTGGTATTCAGTAATTCACATTTTAAACTTTATTGACTGTGTTACGTAATTGTCTCGTACATTTATAGTTTTCAATGCTTTTTCACCTGACATCAGTAGTACATGCTCAGAACAACCTTCATAATGTTTTGTAACTCGACAAGAGAAAGATAAGGAAAATGATATCAACTACTTAGCTTAGTACATTAGGCATGTGACCAGCTGATTCAGTCACGGCTCCATACAATTATTTGAACTGTCATGAAAGCAAAAATTTAAAAAGAGCTTCTGTGACAAATAAACTGGTGTTAATTATTTGTCAGTATATTTCACTATACAAGTGCAGGAAACTATATCTAATTACCATCTAATTACCATATCTGGTGCACAACACGTTTGGGAAGCACATTTCAGCATCTACATTAATAAACTGTCTTTGAATAAAATACAACTTCACTACTTTTCCAGTGAATAACATTTTGGATAGTGGAGGTGGGTGTAAACAGAATAAAATAATCACTGAAAATTAAACTAAATACTTATGGTACTTACTTGATCATTATTTAAAAATCCAATTGATTTACCCCTAATGTCTTTTGATCTGTTCAATTTTTCAACACCTTGAATAAATAGAAACAATATAAATGAAATAGACCCAAAAATTGTACGTTTGTGTACACAAACTACTTACTTTCCGTAGATATAGATAATTAACTGAGAATTTTTTAATGCTTCTTATTAGTTTATTCTTTATTCATGGAAATAACTACTGGAAATTCAGGACCTACAATGTCAACGTTGTCAGTAATAAAGCACAGATAATCACCTTCAATGACAATAGATTTAGTTGGTTCTACATTAAAAATTCGCTGAAATCGCAAATTCGCATCATGAAACAGCATTAACTCAATATTGCAATTACATTGTGCAGACTGAAACAAATGGAAATTCCTAGTGTATAGTTATGTGTTGGTCAAGGGGGGGTCATGGATGTTCATATGTAACCCAGACTAGAGTAAAACAGTTTTCCTAGTGATCCTCGGTTTTCATAATAGCTCTCAAAATGGTATCGGTCAGTGATATTAATCATTTTATAAAATACTGGATCGACATAGAATGAAAACAAAATAAAATTTAAAAAATTACTTATCACACTATGTGAACCGAATTGGGTGGTCAGTAAAAACAATGTCTAGTTGTGAAGACCATTTAGGTAGTTTATATGTTTTTGAATATGTATAACAGTACTCATTTTCCCGTACCACAAAAATGAAAGTGCTTACTCCTTTGAACTGACCAAACAAGACATTTCATCCCACATATAATGTTGTGTAGATGCATACTCTATTTTTCTTTTAAACGTTATTTTTATCGACAAATGGAGATATTTTAAAACTAGGTAACTGAGTAAATAACTTATATTTAAGCATACGGCTTATTCGTGTGTGTTAAATTAAGGGAAGTTGTGGACTACAAATAATAATACTTATGATAAAAATAAGTGGTTACATAAACAATGTTATTACAATACGATTAACACAATGAGGGTAATTCAGCGGATCGATAAAAACTAAGACTACGTAGAAACACATTCCTTGACCAAATATTCAATAAATGAATCAAAAATAGTTCAATGCTGTTCTTAAAGTACCGCCAGTTAAATTTGTGGATTTTCACGTAATTGTGAAAACAATATTCAGAAGCAACTAATCAAAAAGATTTTGGAAGATTTTATGGACATGAACACTGAGACCCATACCTGAAATAAGACAATAACTTTACAAGTACGGTCATCAGGTACCTTGATGTTACTGGACTAATCAAGGCCTTAGAAATAATACACAAACATCAAGTATACCATACAGGGCCCACTGTCATCAAGCATTTCCAACTAGACTAGTATATATATATAGAAAGAAGATATGGTCAACCTGCCTTATCCCTGATAACGAAAAGCAATCTAAATAATTTTCACCTATTACATAGACATATTCTATTCTTAATTACACTAAGTAACATTGTTACCATGCCTTTTACTAACTTTCTATCTTCCCTTCGAACTTCTTCTTCGGTGTCACTAACTAAATTTTCCTAAACTTTTACTTCTAACTACGTAGTTCGTTTGGACTGCTTTCTTTTTATGGGAGGCCTTAAAAAACAAATAATTTATTTTATGACAAATTGTGCTATTCTTGCTCAAATTGAAATTTAATCACTTACATTACTGTGCAAATCTCTTGGCAATTGATTTTAGAATAAAACCCTGAGTGAATAATAATTGAAATATAAAGCAAAAAAATACTCGAATAATTTCGTTCAAAATTAAGAGAGAATGAAATCAAAATGTTACACTGTGAAGAGATTTGTTATGAGTAGTGACCTAATAGGCTTTTCAATGAATCTTTCTTTTCGATCAATTTGGACTGACATCGAATTCGTTTTAATGTTTGCTCTCATTTTTTTCCTACCTTTATTGAAAAAACTATACGTGATCATAAAATCAGTTTATCAAAGCTATCGAAAATCGAATGAATTCATCTAAATTTTCTAGTTTAATTTTTATCGTGCGATGATATCAGATAGTTTACACAAACTGAAATTACTTTAAAGTATATTTCAATTACCTTTGAAAACTATCAATATGACAAAACTTCAGTTTTTTTCGAGATTGAACCAGCATGCTACTAATGGTTAGGATGTGTTTGGTCACGGTTTCTCTAACAATATGAAAATATCATGGCTAGTGCTACATTAGAAAATTCAGTGGGTTTGTAACGTTATACTTCATATGACTAAATTTCATCGCGGAATAGCTGAAGATATACTAAAACCTAAGGCAAATTCAGGTAACTTTATGTAAATTAGAGATTCCTTAAAACGTTATCCTGCCAAACCGATTTCAACTCAAAACGTTGAGTTCTTTGAACTATCAAAAACAAAAGCCCAGGGAAACCCATTTTTTAAAACTTGTTAGAAGTAAAAATGAATGTCTACCGATAACACAGCACGATAGTTGTATCACATTACAAGTTGACAATTATTCGGAAAAGTGAACTCCTAGGCTTTCACTCAGTGAATAAATAGCATCACGGTCAGTACAAGACCCAGATGTTTCTGGTTGTATACCGTATTAGCTACAGCGTTACAGTTTTCTGGTACCTTTTTACTATTCAGAAATCTTTTATTTCTGTCAACTCATGGTGCAAAGCCATTTACATGAATAAGCATAGTAATGCCTTTAAAAGCAGTTCAATTGTTTTTTTACTTCCCAACTTAATAATTAAATATTATGTTTGTATTGCGTAATTTTTCTTACTGAACATAAAAGTTAATAACCAGTTCATTCATATGCAATTATTTTGCCGAAACAATACGACTTTAAAAGATATCGAACAAACACAACAACATCACATACCGCACATATCTTGATCTACATTTGATTCTGTTATTCCTGATTGAATAGTTTCTTGTTTTGTTGAAGAAATTGGATTAATGGTAGATTTCATAGTTGAAATAGAATTATATTTCTGAAGTTGATTATTCGATGAATAAAAATCTTCAAGTAATTGTTGTTTTTCCAATTTTAACGTCTCTATAATTTCCGTTGCATTATCTAAAGATTTTTGTGTTGAACTCAGTTTATCTCGTAGATAATTTCTCTCATCACGTAATGATGCCCATTTTTCTCTCCAACTAGCTGTGCAATCTGACCACCATCTCATCGTTTTTTCAAGTTGAGTAGCACGTGAGCGAGCCTGAAAATTACAGTTTGAATCCCGAAAATTCCTTTTCATACGTATATATATATGTATAACGATATGGACTAGTAATAAAAAGTACACTTTTGAAACATTTCAATTTCCCAAGAGCTTATATATATTAAATTGAAATCCTGTTCACATCAAGAGATTTACTCAAAATACCACTCTAGACATTTCATCGAGTTGAGCATTACGTATATTATCTGCTAACAACAATAGTAATGATTTGCCTACTCATTCATTATTATAATTGAATTGAATTAACTGATCACTACTTTTGGCATTTATGTTGAGTAAAATATCGGGATAAAAATTATTCCCCATCAATCGGCCAATGCCTACAATTGTCGTGAATGACCATAGTCAGGAAAGTGAAAAGATATTCACATTCTCTAATTCGAACATGAACTACGAATGTTCATTATGAAAAATAATAAGTCATTGTGTTGTTATTACGCATTGCTATGGTAGAATCAGATACATGACTTAATAATAACAAAAATAGTCAAGATCTCAGGAATTTCTCTACAATAGTTAAATATTTGTGGGTGAACGAAATGCCTTTACCATTTTTGAGTTACTCTATGTAAAATACTTTGGCTAAACGAAATAATCCGTATTTTATATAGATTCATATAGATGTAATGATAATGAATACTAAAAACCTTTAAAAGTGTAATAAGATTTTGATATTTTTTATTAGAACTTAGCCATATATGATGTTTAACATGAACAAAACATTTAAGACGTTTTTCAGTGTTAGATTATTATCTTTGATAAGTGATCCATTGTCAAAATAATGCAAGAGTACATATAGAAAATGCATAGACTATTATTAAGGTTTTACGACAAAAACATTCAGTTTAACGCTTCAAACGTCATACAAAAAACATATTCTGAATACCTACTTCTTCCAGATCCTTGTCGCGTTGTCTGCATTCTGAAGTACAGGAACGTGGATGAGATCGATTATTAAAGCATCGTGAATGCTGATCAGCAACTCGCATCGGAATGCGTCTTTAACTACGTTCAATCAAATAACTGAGTGTAATATTATAATAATAAATTTTGTTACTGTATATTACTGAAAAAGAAAAGGAGATGCAATAATTTAAATTTCTTTTAAGCCGTTTAATAATAACATTCAATTATATTTGGTATATTTAGACGGTGGTCATAAGTTATGTTAACAACCCAGATTCCCTATTTAAAACTCGTCAGCCGGATATATCTACACTCTTCTCCTGGATTTTACGCAAAGATTAAAAATCAGAACCCATCGGTAGCAGAGACTGATTAGAATTTAGTCTTGAATATCGGTAACATGTAATATAATCCCTCGTTAATTTAATTCTTTTATATAATCTGCTGCAAAACATCATGGCAAAAACCTACATCAGTAAATACAACAAATCAACGAAGAGAAACACAAGTATACACAGTACTTGAATAAATAGCTAACTTTAACATAAAATGAATATTCTTTTATTGAAACAAAGAAAATGGTATCTGTTTGAATAAAACTGCGAGTACGAAAACACTTGAAAATAAAACAGAATACGGATAATTCCCTTCATATTTATAGCCACGAAAATCAACTAAAAATTTATGACAATAAGATTTAATGTTCTATATATAGTGACATACCTAGTAATTAATACTATGTATTTAATGCCATGAGAAACGGGTTAGTCTGGAATCATATGAACATGTATACATTTTTGTGTAAACAAACCAGGTGAGCTAAGCGTAAAACGTCATATTTATTCACAATGAAAAAATGTTCTTTGTACTGCATACATTTATATGTAAACAAATCAATTAAAACCACTCAGTGAATCCTCACGAAAACTTTATCACCATTCGAAAATAAACTTCTAATTACTAAACGTAGCAGTGGTATCTCTATGATCTCTACACCATGTACGTCATAAAATTCATGATCTTAAAAAATGAAATAACTTGATTTTATTCTAATCAATGTTGTATTCTATACCTCATATCCAATGTAATTCTTACAAATAATTTACACTATGCTTTATTATTTTTAATGTGTTTTAGGGGATTTTGTAACAAAGCTAACGGTGAAAGAGTTCATGCTCATTATATCTCATCCAAAAATTAAATTGTAGAATTTTAGGATACGAAGGTTTTCCCCGCGATATACTTTTTTAACAACTGATTATTTCGTGATTTTATCAAATCTAAAGACTAATAAATCAACTAAACAGAAATATGAACATGTAATTAACAAACGAAAGTTTATTATTCTAACACCTCTTAGCATCAAGTCGTTTTAACTTTTGACTAAAGTCTTCGGAAAATTCTACCTCTAGAGGTAGTCACTAGTGGATAACCAAATATATGACATCGGATCCAAAAATGTTCAAAATCTTAGCATTGAAAAAATCGCCTTAATATTTCGTAATAATTATCAATATATGACACCTTATTTCGGGGGTTCCTGTACCTCAGCACATCACATATTACACAAAATCCACCGTCAGGGATAAAATAGCATTTCATCCCAGTTTAAAGACATTCTTTATAGGAATCGAGAATGTCTGCTGCAATTATATAGGCATTATATCTTGTCGATTGTGAGATTACTTAATCACAAAACTGACATTCTATAAAGGTAGTTTATTTTTACGAAACTTCTGGTTGTCAGCCACGTAGAAACACAAAATATTATTCATTTCAAAGTTATATACCAGCATCATCAAACGGAAGTTAACTGTATCTAACTGGGGAAATGTTTTAGAAAATTTCAAACTTGTAAAATGTTTTCATGTTAAAAATCGACATTATTCTAAATAAATAGGCCGACATATTTAAAAGCTTTAAGTTACTATGAAACAGATGTTGATTACAACTACGAAATGAAATCTTCATCCAGTTACTGAGCAATCTAAACATTTCGAGTGGAAACCACCCATCGTTTATTCCTCTGTATATTCCTTTTTCTTCCTGATAAAAAATTAATTTTGGCTACTTTAAATATCCTGAACGATAACGATGACCTCACATAATATGCTAACAAATCATCTAAATAAACAATAAGTCCCTTCGTGGTTTCTTCTTTTTCTACCATTATAGTCAAATCATTTGCACTTGTATCGTTGATTTTAGAAAAGAATTTATTGATTCAGACGCCGATAGCTATCGTTTTGTGGGAAATTAGTGATAACCAAGACCGACAACTGTGAAAAAGAAAAGTCTGAATCTTGTTTAACATCTTGACGAACAAAAGTATCTGACAATTCGCTTGTACTCAATCATGAATTCGAAACGAGATAAATACACCAAGCGCTAGAAATTGCACTTGGTAATTTACGTTGTATTTTTAAATTTCAGCGCCTGTATTACTTTGGTTTTATGTGAGACTATAATTTGTAGATGACCTTTGAGCGATGCTCAAGTGACCTCGGGAATGTCCATCTACTCACTAGGGCTAAATGTGAGTTACAAATCAGTATGAGGAATCAAGACTATGATCTACAGTTGATGGTTAAGGTTGGGAATAATATTAAGGGTTTTCATCAAAAAATGACACCAGCTACAATGTCAAGACTCTAGTTAGCCAAATAGAGGAGTGGGTTTGGTGGCAAAATCCAAGATCTTTTATGCTAAACGTGATTGGTTCCTTCAAAAATTATAGTTTTGCGGGTTTTCAGAGCCTCTAGCCCCCTTCCACAGACCTCTGAGGTATAGTACAACAGTCTTTTCAAATTTCTGTCTGTCTTATGCAAAGATCATCTTGACGTATATGCACGCAATGACTTTAATAAAAATCAATATCTTTAGTACAATATAAGGTCAAGTACAGTGATCTCCAGTTTACACTTTCACCCTGTAAATCAATCCTGTCATGCACTTATTAACAGTTGCCGTAAAGATATAATTTGCAATACAAAACCCCTTTTCATATAACGAACATAACAAGAGATATGACGCTACCAAAGTAGATTGCGTAATGATATTCATGATTTTAAAATAAAGAGAAGAAAAACCAAGTAATTTAGTACACTAAAACTAAAAAGCCAGTTGAAAACCTCTGTATACGAGTAACATTTATATGCATCTTTGTATATCTCTCAACGGATAATATTTTCTGCCCAGACACACTGATGGTTTCTTATCTTATTGTTTTCTACACAACAAACCTCGGTAAAAATTTGCATCAATATGGTGCTTCACGCATATTTCGAGCAATGAATTTAAATATAGTCTTCTACGGTAGTCAACTGAAATCTGAGTAATATGTCGGCTTGACATCTTACAGGTCTTGGCCTAAACAAGATATCTAAAGATACACATTGGAATGTAAATGTATTGAATACTTAGAAGTTTCGACACATCGTGGCATATTATAAAAACATACATACTCTTAAAGTGCCTTTTGTTCACAATGGTTTTGGTATGTACCGAGTTAAGCCTTTAACCAAACGAAGACAAAAACCTTAAACTTATGAGTAGAGGTAGTATTATAGAGCTCGGTACTTGCTTCAAAAAATTATCTTTATTGACTCAAAGTTTCTTATCATCACTTCAATATCTGTTTTATCCACAATTTCCGTAGCAATCTCTAATTTCTGGCGAATTTTTCGCACTAACCTATCAAATCACTTACATCCCGCATCACATGATTCCCATAGTTCCCGAAATAATCGCCGCTTTCAAACAGACTTTAAATACATTTGTTAGGAAAAGGATTACCAAAATAAACACAGTTCGTTTACCAAAACAACACGCTCCACTGTTAAAAAAAATGTGCTGAGAATTCTATTTCTCAGTTGAAATCATGAGTCAATTGAAGCTAGACCACCACCGAAAACCTGGAAGCACTGGACGGCCGTTTCGTTTTATTATGGGACTTCTCAACAGTGCGCATCCACGATCCCGCACCCGCGAGATTCGAACCCAGGACCTACCAGTTTCGAGCCGAAGCCCTTAACCGATAGACCACTGAGCCGGCATCCAATGGTGTTAATGACTAACTTCAACCAATCCACGATATTGAGCGACCGTTCACTAATTGTCTTCAGTGAGATGATATCTCTACAACAGACCTGGTAGAACTCCACAGGCCACTGCTTCCCACTAGAACTCAAGGAAATATCTCTTGAAGTCAGTCACTAGTGAGCATATGATTATAGATCAGAGGGGCTTTTTGGAGAATTTAGTACTGCTGAGGAGTCCCATAATAGGACGAAACGGCCCTCTAGTGCTTCCAGGTTTTCGATGGTGGTCTAGCTTCAATTGACTCATGATTTCAACTGTGTAAATACTAAATCCTCCACAAACCCCTCTGATCTATAATCATATGCTCACTAGTGACTGACTTCAAGAGATATTTCCTTGAGTTCTAGTGGGAAGCAGTGGCCTGTGGAGTTCTACCAGGTCTGTTGTAGAGATATCATCTCACTGAAGACAATTAGTGAACGGTCGCTCAATATCGTGGATTGGTTGAAGTTAGTCATTAACACCATTGGATGCCGGCTCAGTGGTCTATCGGTTAAGGGCTTCGGCTCGAAACTGGTAGGTCCTGGGTTCGAATCTCGCGGGTGCGGGATCGTGGATACGCACTGTTGAGAAGTCCCATAATAAAACGAAACGGCCGTCCAGTGCTTCCAGGTTTTCGGTGGTGGTCTAGCTTCAATTGACTCATGATTTCAACTGTGAAAATACCAAATTCTCCACAAAACCACTCTGATCTATAATTCTATTTCTGGCAGCAACTTGTGAAGTGAAAAGTTATTGATTAAATACAGCATGCGTGTCTCTGATGAGTCTTTATTTTCTGTATATGAATCAATATTCCCTTGCTAATTTTTTTACGATCTTTTACCTACGTGCGTAAGGCCATTTGACACTATTTTCAAAGTAAAGCAGAACCTGAACAGTTGCATCATTCGCAAAGATTGTCATACATCATTCATTTTTATTTTCTTACTGCTTGTGAACACTAAGCGTTAATTTTTCGAAAATTAAGAGGCTTAGTATAAAAACATTATTTATAGAATGCAGCATTCAATATAAAACATCACGTGTTATGGTACACAGTGGACTACTTGGTCAGAGCTGCCGACTATAACCCCTCCCACCTCTCAGGAGGAGTGATTATGCAGTCATATTATTCAAATTTGTAGCTGAAATAACCGTACCGGCCCGTCCTAACATATGTAGGGCAGACATGAAGGCAATTCATTCATTCTTGGAACCCATTACCCAAGGCAGTAATGTCCGCACGCTCAAATGAATCATTTAAGGGAGGAATAGACACTAATAGAAGTGTACTAGAAAAAGAATAAATGGACTGTATGCCTTCTGTGAACACTACACAAATCTGAAAAATGTTCTTTGACATAAACTATTTGGTTTCAAATTCACTTGATACACAGCTCTTCAATAAAGAATACAAAAAACGGAAAAACTGAGGACACGATTTTCATGAGGACACCTAATGATCTCTATAAATAAGAGAAATAGATGCATATTTCTATAATACATCAACGAAGTAAACCTAGCTCCAGAAACTTCTGTTCCTACTTTGATGGTAATTGGGCAGCTGTCAAAATAGCATTTCAACGACAGCCAGCGTTTATAAAGTATACACTGATGAGTCAGTTAGTGTTACATCGGCATAATTTGGAAAAATGTTTTAAATAAAGCATTCGTTACATCCAATCAGTTGATATGTAGAATGTTTAGAGAAAACTCATTTTCGAAGGATAGTTCATAAGCTCTTATCTGTTTTCAGAACAGATAACTTTTGTTCGATATTCAGTTTTTACCATCAACATACGTATGCACGTACATACGCAAACAAACAAAAAAATAAAGGTGAAAATAAAGGTGAACAAAAATGAAAATATGCATTTCTCTTTAATGTCTCTCTGTATTTCAAATGCCGCTCAGTTGTGCACTTTTCGCCTAAATATACGACATAAAAGCGAAACATCAAAATTCCTCTTTTATTACCGCTTTCGTTTGCTTTCTTTCCCTTTATTCGTTTTTACTCACCTTTTATAGGTCATGCCAGCATACGCTGGTACTTAAGTAATGTTTTTTGAAAGTATGCTGCTATCAACCTAAGGAAGTGATTTTTCGATAAATTCCAGACCTCAGAAGCTTTTACAAAAATGGAAAGACATTTTACAATATATATATCCTCAATAAATGACACCAACCGCACATTATTACGTAAAGAATTCAAAATAGTACTAAACTGCAAGGTGATATGTTGGTTGATACAAACTAATAGTATGAGACATGATATACGTTAGCCTAGATAAAAGCTAATGACTTGATGATCGTCAAAATATTGTTATTAAAGATGTTTTATATAGGAGAATGCTCAGTATAGATCCTTGAGAAACAGATAACGAAACAGATAACTTAGCTTATTACCGTTAAATCAATAATTTAATTTCGTTCACTTTGAAATAACGCCTGCTTGTTTCCATAAATTGAATAAACATAGTGTGCGAAAGTTTTTGCTTAGTAATGGCCACTCGTATATCCTTCTCGGAGTGCCCTATTTCATCACAATTCGCCGTATATATCAGTACCGCTTGAGCCAGTTTTGTACAAGAACTATTATTATCACTTTGGGGTGACCACATAAGTAACGGATTTTCGAGGGA